AAACACTCTCAGCTTCCGTCTTCCACCTGGGCCTCACTATGCTTCCCTTTATAATTCCCTTCCCTAACTTTTAATAATCTCCATTTATAGCCACGTGTCCTTATGAGCACATGATAAAAGCGAGAGCACACAAGGGAGGGGTGAGGATAGGTAAGACACCTAAAAAACTAGCTAGCATTTGTTGCCCTTAACGCAGAGAAACTAAAGCAGATACCTTAAAAGCAACTGAGGCCAATAGGAAAAGGGGAACAGGTACTAGAGAAAAGGTGAGATCAAAAAGAATTAACCTAGAAGGTAACACCCATGTACAGGAAATCAATGTGAGTCAATGCCCTGTATAGCTATCCTTATCTCAACCAGCAAAAACCCTTGTTCCTTCCTATTATTGCTTATACTCTCTCTACAACAAAATTAGAAATAAGGGCAAAATAGTTTCTGCTGGGTATTGAGGGGGGGGAGCGGGAGGGGGTGGAGTGGGTGGTAAGGAAGGGGGTGGGGGCAGGGGGGAGAAATGAACCAAGCCTTGTATGCACATATGAATAATAAAAGAAAAATGAAAAAAAAAATATCCACGTGTCCTGCCATGGATTCTTCCCAGTGGAATACAAAGAATTTGGAAGTCTTTTAATCACAGACTGCACCAGCGCTGTTAACAGTGCCACCTGACACTAAACCAGCATTACTAACACATTGAATAAAATTTGAATTTGTGCAATGTGTCAGGTCCTGCAACCTCTCCCAACACTAATCTCTTTGAGCCTCAGTTTCCCCACCTATGAAATAGACACGATTCCATGAAGGCTCTGGGCAGGAGTTCTTAGGTTGAGATGGGGTGAATTTTTTTTTCTTTGTTCTTTGGCTTGTAACACCTTTTTCCCTTAATGAAAAATAAAAAAGAAGTCTGATATAGTGGACACCTGTAGTCTTCAGATTCCCTAATTGTTAACACTGGGCCACTTTTGCTTCATCCTCTGTTTCTGTGTGTCTATACTGTCTGTATACAATTTTCACCCCCCATTTAAAAGGAAATCGCAGCAGATATCCTGCCATTTCTCCTGACATTTTCAGGCCACATCAACTAAGACAAGAATAGTCTTCTATGTAACCATCTAAGAAAACTTAATCATTCATTATCCACGACAGGACAGAGGAACAACACCTGAGTCCCTGCTAGGTTCTTGGAGCATATGGGGGCATGAAAGAATGTCACCTTTGACCAGGGAGAGAGGGCAGGTGCGTCCATCATCTGGCCGGTGGAGAGGGAGAACACTGCGGGTGAGCTGGGACTGCAGAGAACTCTTTTCTTGCAGTGCCCTGACCTTAAGCACCAACCTCCACTTAGTAATTTCCCCCCAATTATCAATTATTCCTCCAAAAATATTTGCATAGCCTTTACAAAAAAAACAGTATTCAAAGTTCTCACGCTGCATTTGGCTTGGTCTCTTACTCTAGAAGGGTCAGGGAGGGTGATGGTAATGGAACACGGCTTGGAGCACCCCGAGCCTGGGTCAGGATGGAGGAAGCAGCAAGTCCTGGGCCGGGGGAACCAAGTGCCCCAGGCCGTGGCTGTGCAGACCCGGAGGTTTTACAGAGGCAGCTCCCGCACTGGTCCCGCCCCCTAGCAACTGGCCCAGCGTCCCTCCCTAGAGACGGAGCGGACAGACAGCCGAGACTGCTCCGTGGAGCCGGTAGGTTGGTAAGGCGGCGGGATTGCCAGGGCAGGAAAGCCTCGGTAAGGCGCAGGGGGCGAGTGGACCCTAGCCCAGGGTCCCCAATCCTGTCCTAGAGTCTGGGTGCCCAACCGAGCCTTGACCAAGGGGAAGAAAGTAGGGGGTGCACTTTAAACAGCCTTGCAGTGAAGTCCTGTATTTAGCAGACCGTTTGGAGGGACCCACCCCCACGATGAGAATATGACACTCCCTCCCTCCCCCCGCCCGCCCCGGGGGCAGGCTCCTGCTGGGAAGGGGCCAAGATTTTGGTCCTCATCAGCCACCTAATCTTTCTCTATATCGGGACCACAGAGTTTTTACAGAGATTACCTTCATTTCTTCCTTTACCTACCCTGTTCTTTAATTCATTGGTCCATACAATCATTCTGGAAATACATCTAGGTATCTGCTGTGTGCCAAGTCTGTACCATCCCCATGCAAAGCACCCAGTTCCCAGAGATCAATGTTACTTGAAAATTCCTGTCCAGCTGGCCAGGGACAGAAATGTATACATATAATTCCAGGATACGTTCACTGGAGTGAGGAGTCTCAGGCAGCTGTGGGGATGGGGTTGCATCAGGTGAATGCTTCAAAAGGGTGGAGAGAACCCCAAGTTTGAGAGAGAAATAACCACCCATAGTATTGTCTGTCTAGTAACCCAAACAAGAGCTGAGACTTCTAAAATCCCTTCAAGTCACATTTGTCAAATGAGAGCTTACAAAGATCCCTGTGGTGTGAAACAGATGTGCACAGTTCTTTCTGGACCATGGTTGGGTGACTTAGAAGACTTCCTACTTAGGCACCCACTTTGCAGAATTTCAAGGCTCCTCCATACACAGTTTGAGTGCCAGGAACATAGACCTTTACCCAGAGGGGAAGACCTCAAGTTCTGTTCTGGTTTTGCCAATTCTTTGCGAGTGTCTTTATTTCTCTAGACCTGAGTTTCCTTGTTTGTAAATTGCTGATAATAGTATTATCTGTTGTAAGGATCAAATAGTCCTGCCCATCTGCATGCATTTATCCAATTGCTCTACTTATGATCAAGTCACATGAGGCTGAATGTCAGTCACTCTAACCTGAAACCTCTAGTTCAAGCCAACAGGGCTCTGAGGTGATCTGAGTGAGGAGCAAAAAGAACTTGGTCACACTGGCTGTGTGACTTTGGGCAGGTCACTTAACCTTTCAAGCTTAGTTTTCCCAACTATGAGAAAGAAAGATAGTCTCAGTATCCACCTCAGAAGTTTAAACGAGATAATGAAATCTGTTTAAGCCCTAGTAACATTCACCATCCCCAGCACCCAGGTCCACCCCCTGCAATCTCACCAGCTAGTTCCCTCCCACAAATGGATTGGAAGAGAGTCCCAAGAGTGACCGGTGGCAGCAGTGACTAGCAACTCCTTGCTAGGAACCATGTCCTTATCTCTCCTGCCAGCCACTGTCATTCCCAGGCAGAGACTGCTGTCATCCATGGGACTGTGACAGGAGTCAGAGGTCTCTCTGTCAGTGACAGCTCCTGCACATGCTAGCCATGTACAGGTACCCAGAGTTGGGGACAGCTGGAAGAAAGCTATGGTCAGGGGCTGTGGGATGAAGGAAAAACAGGGTTCTGATTCTTCAGCAAGCTATCCTACCTTCCTTCTTGGGATAGGCCTCGATGCAAACCCCCTCCCCTACTGCTAACCTGCCCAGTAGAAAACAATTTACAGGTAGGGGACAGCAAATCCACCCATCACTGACCCCTTTCATCCCCAGCAACACTGAACTTTCCCAGATATCTGTGCACCTGCCATTTCTGTTCACCAGTAAAGCAAGCTAAGCATCTTCAAACCTATTTGTATGCTAGGGAAAGCTGGTGTGGAATGTTATCCTGTGGAACTGGGACACTGGCCTTTCTAATCCCTGCTATCATCTTGTTCGAAGATGAAACAGACATCTGTAGATTTGCAGGGTGATGAAGCTGAACCTCAGAGGATCCTCTGTCCTTAGGGGGTTTTGAAAAGGGCTGGCAACTGTGAAACAGCTGGCCACCAATAAGTGAGTTCTAGTTGGAGACGCCCTGACAGGCCTAACTGGCTAGAGGCTGTGTGTCTGGGGCTTTCCGCCAGAACCCCTGCCACAATTCATCAGGAGACCTACAGCAGCCAGTCCCACTAGGTTGCCAAGACAGTGAATGGCAGTTACTAAAACACCCAACAAAAAGAGTGACCTATACTGCGAACTCCTGGCTGCCTTGTCCTGGTATACAGAGAGGGTAGGTGGGAGGAGGAAGGCTTGCTAGCTTATTACTCTTATTACCTTTGGTTAAGATGTGTTTTTTTTTAACTGAAATTTTAACTGAAATATTCTCTTTTGTTTTTTGGGGTTTTTTTTTTTTTTTGCACCAGCATTACATGAAAACCTCTTCTTCCCCATACCTTTATCCAATTTCTTGTAAAGTTCTCCTGCCCAAGGATTTTGCCTGGTGATTGCACTTCAAGGTAGCCAAAAACAATAGTGGCTTGGTAAGGGCTTGACAATAAACATGAACCTTTGTCCTCAAGGTGGTGGATGTGCATCCAGTCCAGTTGTATCTGCTACTCCTTTTGCAAAGACAGGAGGTGTATGTCCCCTGAACTGGGCTGACACCCAGAGCCAGGGTGAGTGAGTACCATTTCGTTGCTGATAGGGCAATCTGTGGGCCCATGGAGGATCAGGGTTGGGATCCTGCTGGGGAAGCCATTTAGCCCTCTGACTCCTGGGGTATGGTGGGAGGTGGGGTGAACAAGCATGGGTGGGGCTTGGCATGGGTCATAGCCTCAGGCTAGTGAGGCCTTGCACCCACATGAGGGAAGCAGGCCAATCCAGCAGAGTTGGGTTGGGACAGTAGGGCTACTGGCTGAAAGTCATTTGGGGGAAATTCACTGAGCTCTGGGCCTCCCTCCTCATCCCCCTACTCCTGAGAAGCCAGGCCTTGCTCTGTCTAAAATAAAGGAGAGGGAGGTATGGAGGCACCCAGCAGACATCTGCACAACTTCCCTCACTCAGCCCTTAATTCTATAGGGCTGGTTCAACACATGCAGCATCCAGTGTGGGGCCCACTTCCCCTGGTGGGACCCTAGGCACTATGTCTATCCAGATTAGAAGACCATTCCCTTTTCTCTCCCCCTTTTGTTATTGTGGTTTGTTGTCTGGGACTTGTGGGTTCCATGTATCATAGTACCAATGGGGCCTGAAACAGAGACTGGCAAGACCTGAATGGTACCAGTGTTTTCTCCTAGGATCTCTGGCTGGGGCACTCCTCTGAGGAGCAGTATGGAGAAGCAGAACAGAGAAGGCTGCAATGCAGGAAGATCCTCTCAGGGCCTACAATGTGGTCCTGAGAGGGTTCCTGGAAGCCTAGAGTTTGTTCTGAAGAAGAGTTCTCAGGGACCATATTGTGAGCTGGAGAATCCTCCTCCAGGCCTTGACCCCAACACCCCACATTTACCCATGTCCCTGCCCATAGTCTCAGATTTGGGGCAGCCCCGGAAGTCACCACTGACAGACACTGAAAAGAAGTATCCATTGATGAAGCAGCGTGGGTTCTACTCTGATATCCTCAGTCCTGGAACCTTGGATCAACTTGGGGTGAGGGGTAGCTGTTCTCGGCCAAGCTTGAGCCCTCCCTATGGGCTCATCTTTTCATCTTCTTCTCTATCAATTAATCTGTTCATTTAGCCATCTGTCTGTCCATCTATCTAATTGACCATCCATCTACTCACCCTTCTGCCCATATAACCATAAATACATATGTACCCATCCATCTAGCTGTCCATCCTTCTGTCCATTCATTTACAACTCACCACTAAGCTCTTGCTACGTGTCAGGCCCTGAACTCACCACTTAGCAAAGACAAGATATTCATATCCCTATTGTGATGGGGTGATGGTTTGATGGGGAAGTCCCTTTCCTCCAACTTTGGTTAGAAAGTGGTCCATGAATGAGATGGCATATTGCTGAGTTCCATTCAGTGACCCTTGGGAGAGAAGTCACACACACAGAGACACCTGCTGGTCTTGCAGTACCTGTCTCATGGCTTAGCCCCAGGACACACACTGGGAATATTCTCAGTGAGGAAGAGAACTGTGCTGGACCAGAACAGGATAGCTATGGTTGCAACAGTTTGTCTCCCACTGTGGTCTCTGAACAGTGTGTGACTCAGTGGTTCTGCCTGACTCTCATGTTCCTGGGGTGCACCCTGGTAGGCCTAAGGGAAACACCTAGCCTTGGTCACCCTCCCGAGTCCTAACTGTCTCTGGGATGTTTATGTACTCTCAGAACTCTGGGGTTTGGTTTCAGAATGTGTGTCGTGGCCCCTGCGTAAAACAGAACTTGCTGCGTCAGGCTGACCTTGACAAGTTCACCCCAAAAGGTCAGTACTCAGGAGGATGGAGTAGGTGGGCTCACTTAGAAGCAAGGCCTCTGACCTAAGGGAGATAGTCTCTTTTTGGCAGAAAGCCCCCATCTCCTCAAGGGTGAAATGAGGCTGGTAAGAGATAAAGGTGCATTGCAAGGGCCTGGGACAGGAAGAACAGGGCCAAAATAGCTTTTTATGAGGCCCTGGCCCCTCCGGGCTCACACCCTGTCAGGCACCTGGTCTCTCATCTATCTTCTCCCTGACTCTGCCTGGCCACAGGCAGCTGCTGAGTTTCCCACACCCCAGTGCGCCCACCTGGTTCTTTCCTGGCAATATGTGTTATTAGATGATTGGGGGGTGGAGTTGTTGGGCCCCAGCCTGAGTCCTGCCATGCCTGTCTCTGCCTGCAGTCAGAACTTTTGAGATTCCTGAGGACTTTGAGGAGCGTGTGGAGCAGCAATGCATTGGGTCTACCACACGCCTGCTCACCCATACGGACTTCCCGCTGCGGGCCTACGAGCCCAAGGTGCAGGTGCCCTTCCAGGTGCTGCCGGGCCAGTGTCCCCGCAAGATTGAGATTGAGAGGTATGCTGGGGTGGGCTGTGGGGATGGCCTGTTCCCAGGAGGTGGCATCTGCTCAATCTAAAGGTTGAGGAACTGCAGACCACTTGGTGAATAACCCCATGGCACGGTGTGTGCGCAAATGTTAAATCAAATCTAGTCTAGTCTCTTAATAGGCAGAGAATTGTGGAATCAGAAAAGGTGGCATTTAGGTAATGAAGTGGGACCAGGACAGGACAGAAGGGTAGTTGGAACCCAGGACTCTACCCCCAGCCATTGTACCACTTCCTGACGAGTCCCAAGGGGCAGAGGGCTCCAGAGGAATCTCTGGGCCACAGCTCTAACACTGTACTCCTGGGCCCTTACTGACACCTCTGAAGCCACCTTACATGAGGCGTTGTCCTGAGACACCTCCCTGTCCTGGCCAGGAGGAAGCGGCAGTACCTGAGCCTGGACATTGAACAGTTGCTGGCCAAAGAGGGCATTGACTCCAACAAGCTCATGCCCAGGCACCCAGACCCCCAAAATCCCCAAACCATTGAACAGGGCCATGACCCACTCTTCCCCATCTATCTTCCACTGAAGGTAAGCCAAACTGCCATGGATTGCCAGTCGACAGGTGGGGGGCGGTGAGACCCCAGCTGAGAATCAGAAGTTAGACCCCAAAGGGGATCTCTGCTCCAGCCATGAGCACTCACTTGTCAAACAGGACAACTGAATAATCAGAACACACCCGTTACCTTGAGCATCCTAGGCTGTAGCAGGAAGGATCCCAAGATCTCCCAGGACACTGACTCTCTGCTTCTTTCCTGGGAGCCTGGACAGCCTGTGTGCCTCACCTGTGTCCCCACCCCACCCACAGGCACCTAGAATCAGCTCAGTTGGATGGAGAAGTAGTGTACAGGACTCCCTGAGCAGGGCCTGCCTGAGGGTGGAAGACTGCTTTCTGGGCTACTGAAATAGGGAGACCAGGGATAGAGGAGGATATCAGTGTCACCTTATCAGGGTACAAATGGGGAAACTGAGTCTGGAGAGGAGAGAAAGGGACCACAGCCTGGTTTTCACTCACCTCTCCTCCCTTCCTCTATGAGGCCTTTAGTGTCTCTTGCCTGGTGGTTCCTGCTGGAGGCAGAGCTGAATCCAGATGCTGTTAACCTGCCAAAGGCTGTCTCCTGATAGCCCTGAATCTCCATTGCTTCCCAGTTTGTGTGGGGTGCTCAAGAAACCCAAGACCCACCTGTTTGTTCTTTCAGGCCTGACCTAGGTGTAGGCAAGAGAGCCCACAACTTGTGCTGAGTTCCCAAATGCTCTCTGCCTGAGTCTTGGTTGGCCTGGTGAACAGAAATCTGGTTCCCCCTCATCTACACCCTGTGTGCCCTTGGGAGCAGCTCTACCCAGCCATAGGGCAACTGCTTCCTCTGGACATTTGACTACTTTCTCCAGGTGTTTGACAATGAGGAGTTTGACTGCAGGACTCCCAGAGAGTGGCTCAACATGGGCTTGGATCCAGAGTCTCAGAACAGGAAACCTGTGCCTGGAAAAGCCCTCCTGCCCACTGATGATTTCCTGGGACATGGTGAGCAGGGCCAGCCCAGGATGGGGTCCTGTCTTTTCCCAGTAGCAGTCCTGGCAGGGATTCCTGGGCTGCTCTGGCAGGGATTCCTGGGCTCCCCTGGAACCTGGCTGCCATGGGAAGTAAGGGGTCTTTTGAGGCTTCCCAGCTGGACTCCAGGCCAGAGAGCTGGCCACATAGAGGCAGGGACCAGGGATGGTGTTGTGGAGAAGGCTGGAAAACAGGACAGCTAGATAGTGTCTAGTATTTTTTTTTAAATCTTTGATTTATTAGTAATAAAAGATACATGTGCTCATTAGGAATGTTCAAAGGTGAATAAGGGGCATGATTAGAGTCCTTCCATCCCACCACCCAGAAATCATCCTTGTTCCAGCTATAACTATAGCCTCTGAGCTTTTCCCTCTGTGTGGGCAACACACACTGTCACACACTTTCTCATAGAAATGCACCCTGCCACACACATTCACAATCACACACCATCCCACATACATTTTTACTACACACTAATGTATCCCAACTGTCACATCACCCATTGGCCACCCCAGTACCCCACCTACACATACCCATAGATGCTACATAGATTGGCATGTCTTGTCTATGTCTGCCCAGAGTGCTTCTCCTTTGGCCTCAAGTCTTTCCTGGTGGCCATGGAGGCTTTCTCCAGTTGCCTGCTGTCAGAAACAGGGCCAAGGTGAGTGCTCATGGCTCCCTCCTGGCCTGCATAGCTGGGTCTCTGTGGAGGCTTCCTGGGAAGGTCAGGGTTCTAAGTTTGGAGACTGGAGATGGCTCTTCCCCCATTCAGGGAAGGCTACTCTGCTCCCTGACGTTTGGGTGGACATGATGCCCATGGAGTGGGTAGTAGCCCCAGTTGGCCAGTCCCCAAGTAGAAGACAGGATTGTAAGACCAATGACTGAGGCAGGGTGTGATGGCTCATGTCTGTAATCTTAGCTATGTAGGAAGCATAGATAGGAGGATTTCCGTGCAAGGCCAGCCCAGGCAAAAGGCACAAGACCCTATGTGAAAAATAACTAAAGCAAAAAGAGCTGGGGGCACAGCTTAAGTGGTAAAGTGCCTACCTAGCATAAGGACCTGAGTTCAAACCCCAGTACCCCCCCCCAAAAAAGAGAACAATGACCAGTTTTAAGACTGTGCTGCCTCCCTAGCTCACAGGGAGCTCAACTTCTATTGAGCAGGTTGCAAATTTATGTTTCATTTTAAAAATGCATTAATACTAGAATCAATTTTTCTGACCTACACAAGAATTCCAGAATGTTCCCTTCAATTTGGATTTATTTACAGAAATAATTTAACTCAGTTGTTCCCAGATCTCTAACTCCCAGTGATAAAACCAGAAGGTTTGGGGGACCACATAACCTTAAGTGCCCCAAGCACCAAACTCCCCGTTTCACAGGGGCCCTGACCTTGGGCATAAGCACTAGGGTGGGAGTGGGCCACGTGGAGCATCTGCCCAAGACCTCTTGTTTTCCACTGGGGGCTTCTTGTGACAGCTTTTCCTCTGAGTTGAGCCAAGGCAAAGTCAGCATTTTTAAAAAGGGAACTTACTAGGAAAGGAAGGGGAAAGCAAACGGGTGAGGTAATGAACCAAGCCTTGTATGCACATATGAATAATAAAAGAAAAGGAAAAAAAAAACAGGTGAGGTATACTTCAGCAACCTTCTTTACTCATCTGATGTCAACAGATGGAGACTCTTTCCTTGGAATTCTAGCCCTTCCTTCCTTACCCCATGTACAGATCCCATTGGTTTGTTTTAAGCTATTGTGTGTTGGGGTCTCATCTGCTGGGCACCATGTGTGAACATCTTTTTTCTTCAACAGTTTCCATTCTGGGCACCAGTTTCCATTCTAGGCTTAGGTCCACATCTGTGACCAAGACAGAACAAAATTGCTTCTGCTCTTAAGAAGCTGACAGTAGCCTAACTAGGTACTGTGAGAGACACAAAAGGGATAATAGTCAGAGATGGTATTTTAATCAGAGATAATTCTCCAACTTGAGCAGGGAAAAAAACAGCAATGAGGCCACCTGAGTGAAGAATGTTTGGGCAAAAGGCATAGCCAATGCAGGGGCCCTAAGGCAGGAACAAGCTCAAAAATCACAGAAATAGGAAGCTGTGTAGTGATCTGGAGAGAAAGAAGTGAGGGGGCAGCAGCAGCAGGTGAACTACAGAACAGGACCAAAGTGTTCAGCCCAAGGAGGAGGCAGGAGACCCCTCCTTACCAAACAGGCTAAGGCCCAGACTCTGCTCTATCCTGCCCACTTCTGATACAAAGAGCCCAATGACTCTTTGGGGAGGGCTTCACCCTGGCCTTGGTCACCTTGAAGAGGTCCAACTCATCCATGATGACCACCCATGACAGGTACTCAGCAGTTTTCTTGTGTGTTTGAGGCTTTTTTACCTTCTGTCCCTGCCCCATTGGCCTCTGTCTCTGTCTGCCTTGGTAGATTGTACAGAGAGGCCTGGTCCTTCTGAGTCTTTGTGTGGCCAGGGGTTCATCAGCAGCCAGCTTAGCTTGGAGAAAGCAGGGCCCTTGTTCTACGGGAGCCACGGGGTGTTCTGGTGGGAAGGGGCCAGGCTAGTGACCTTTGAGATCTGTCCTGCACCTGCTGCCACATACAGAGGCCTCTCTCAGCTCCTGTGGCAAAGAGCACTGGTGGGTGTCCCCTCCTGTTTTAGAGGACCCCAAGAGTCAGAGACTGGACTACAAATGGTGTGAGGTTGGCATCCTGGACTATGATGAGGAGAACAAGCTGTACCTGGTGCATAAAACGGATGAGAAAGGCTTGGTGCGAGATGAGACAGGGATGCCCATCCTGAATGGAGGAGTCACAGACAAAGGTATGAGCTCTGCCTCTCCCAGGTGGACTCCCAGCTCAGTCCTGGCCCATTCTCGAAAATCCCGCCACAGGCACCACCAACTCAGATCTGACTTCTGCCTTCAGTTTAATCTGTGGCTGTCTGTTCCCTGACCAGTAAGAACCAACAGACAGGTGACTCAGTCCCCAAGAAGGGCCAGGCAAAATGGTGCATACCTATAATCCCAGCTACTTGAGAAATGGAGGCAGGAAATCTAATTAAAGGCCAGCCTGGGCAAAGTTAGCCAGTCATGAGACCCTATCTTAAAAAACAAAGATCTGGTGCTATAATTCTAGTGGTAGAATACTTGCCTAACATGTATGAGGCCCTGGGTTCAATCCCCAGTACTGAAAGAAAAAAAGAAGAGAAAATAAGAAAGGAAGACAGGAGGGAAGGAGGGAGGGAGGGAAAAGAGAAAGGGAGACCCCAGGAAGGGCAAAAGGCTCAGTGAACTCTGAGCATCTGGCAGTGCTGCTTTTAGCATGATATGGAAAAGGAGCTTAGGCCCATGGATTAGTGAGGTTTGCTCCAGGTGTGGCATTGCAGAGTGAGGACCTGAATGACCTCTCCTGTGTAATTCCTTATCTGAGCACAGCTCTTTACAGTTTACAAAACACCTTGTATCCACCCATGACATCCTGTGAAGTAGGCAAAGCAGGGAATGTCATCATACCTATTTCATTCATTGGACAGGGAATAGGAGAAGGGAAAGCACTTGTTCAGGACCGACCACCAAGCATCAATGGCACAGCTGACCAAAACCCAGTACTCCAGCCCAGAGAGCCTGACTCTGTCCCCTTCTCCCTCCCACCCGGCCCCCAGGAAGGCCACCCCTTCTGGTATGTCAGTACTGGGTGCCACGGATCCAGCTTCTCTTCTGTGCTGAGGATCCTCGCGTGTTCACACAGCGTGTGGTCCAGGCCAATGCCCTGCGCAAGAACACGGAGGCACTGCTGCTGTACAACCTGTATGTGGACTGCATGCCCTCGGAGGGCCAGTGGCTCATCAATGAGCAGAGCCTAAGCAAGATCAAGCAATGGGCCATGAGCACACCCCGGATGCGCAAAGGGCCACAGTGAGTGCCTGCAAGCCTCCTTCAGGGGGGCCTTTCTGTGGGGGAAGTAGAGCTACCATGGGGTAGAACTCCCTGTGTGAGGTTTACCTATGTGGGACTGTCTTGCCCACTACATATGGACTTAGGACCCAAGCGATTTCTTGTTCATCTCCAGATCCCTTATTATCAAGTTGGACTCATGGATTCTTACTTCATTGAGAGGGTTACAATGCATTACTACCATTTTTTATTTTGATGCTCGGATCTGACCAATGGAAGCCTCTTCAGGCTATCCCTGTGTCTTTTTTTTTTAACATGTTCCCATTGTTCTCTGAGTACATCCTCACTTTCTGACACAGAAAGTGTCCCAGATCCAGCCTGAAATCATCCTTTTCTCTACGGAGCCCTGATTCACTTTAGAGGAATATTTAGAAGGCAAGATTTTGGCATTAGGTGTGTTTTTTGCTACTGGGAAATCTTTGCTTCAAGATTCTTAAGGCAGACAGATCTGGGAGATATAGATAGATCGATCGATAGATAGATAGATAGATAGATAGAGTAAATATATGGGATATATATGACATTGCATTATATATAACCACACATATCTGTATTTTTATATCTATATCAATCCCTATCAGTCCATTGAAATTTCCTTTGTTGCTTTTTGCAACTGCATTGTAATTCATTGCATGATGAATCATGGTTTATTCAACCATTTTTCAATATGTTGACATTTAGGTCATTTTCAGTATGTTGTGATTACACATAATGAATGTTGCCATTAATAATCTTGCATATTTGTCTGTATTGATGGAGGTATATCTTTGAGGTAGATTCTTACAAATCAGATTGCTAGGTACAAAGATAATGTTAGGTACTGCCAAATTACCCTCCAGAAGGGTCTCATCATTTTGCATGCTCACCAGCAATGTGTGAGAGTGCCTGCTTCCCCATGGCTTTGCCAAGAGTGTGTTATAACACTATAAAATTTTTTGATTATCTAGAAGTAAGAAATGGTTTCTCAGTATAGTTTTATCTTATTATAAGTGAGGCCAAATATCTTTTCATATGATTAAGGATAGTTTTTATATCTTTTCTGACCTATCTAGTTATGTCTTTCATCCATTTTTCATTTGGAAAGACTAAGGCTTCTTAGTCTTTCCAATTTTTAGGCTTGTATATATACTAGGGTTATTGGTTCTTTATCTGTGCTATGTCATAAATATCTTTTCCTGAATTGTTACTTATGTTTTGACTTTTTATTTTTTCTTTTGGTGGTACTGGGGTTTGAACTCTTGCCAGCCCATGTTTTGATTTTTTAATGGTAGTTTTGCATATAAAAATCTTAGACAATTTTATTAATCTTTTCTTCAGTTGCATCTGCATTTTGAGGCATAGATGGGAAGTCCTCCTTTATAGGGAAGTTTTCTTCTACTACATATATTGTTTCAGTTTTTGCATATATTTTCTTGATTCAGCCCTATGTGGATCCAGTTTTACCTTTTTCCAAATGATTAGCCAGTTGTTCCAGCAGTATTTATTAAACTTCCATCTTTGGCCAAGTAATTTGAGATGCCACCTTTACCATCCACTAATTTCATATGTACTTGGGTCTGTTTGGACTTTCTCTTCCATTAGCCTGTCTATTCCTGCTCTTGCACTGTACTGTTTTATAGTATGTTTTAGTGTCTTGTAGGGCTAGTCCTCCTTGTAGCTTTTCCCTTTTAATGTTTTCCTGGCTATTCTTAAATGTCTGATTTGGTTTTGTATCTTCCTTTCTTCCCTCCCTTCCCTCCCCTCCTTCTCTCTCTCCCTTCCTTCCCCTTCTTCTCTCTCTCCCTCCCTCCTTTTTTTCTTCCTCCCTCCCTCCCTTTTTTCCTTCCTCCCTCTGTTCCCTCTTTTCCTTCCTTCCTTACCTCCTTTCCTTCCTTCCCTCCTTCCTTCTTTCCCTCCCTTCCCTCCTTCCTTCCCTCTCTCCCTTCCCTCCTTCCCTTCTCTTCCTACCCTTCTTCTTCCTTCCTTCCTTCTTTTTCTTTCTTTGGCAGGGTCTTGATATGTAGCTAGGGTAGCCTCAGACTCACAATCTTCCTGCCTCAGTCTCCCAAATGCTGGGATTACAGGTATGTACCAGCATGCCCAGTTTGCAATGCTTTTTTATGTGAACTTTGCTTTACCTGGCTCTCTTATTGTTTCCATTTGTCTGATATATCCCTCTATTTTGAGCCTTTCTGAATTATTTTGTTTGATAGGTCTCTTGCTTTTGGCATATAGTTGGGTCTTACTTTGTGAGCCAAATGAAAAATCTTTTTCTTATAATAAGTGAGCTAAACAGTAGAGTGCCTACTTTTCAAATTCAAAACCCTGAGTTCAAACCCCAGTCCCACCAAGAAAAATAAAAAAGAGACTCACAAATCAGCTTCTTTGCAACATGTTTTGCCAGGTGCCAGTGGCTCATGCCTGTAATCCTAGCTACTCAGGAGACAGAGATCAGGAGGATTGCAGTTCAAAGCCAGCTTAGGCAAATAATTCACAAGACCCTATCTCAAAAGAACCCATCACAAAAAAAAGGGCTGGTGGAGTGGCTCAAGGTGTAGGCCCTGAGTTCAAACCCTAGTACCACAAAAAAAAAGTGAGCTAAGCCCATTCTTATTTATTGATATGGCTAGTATGTTTTATCTCAATTCCCTCATTATTTTATGTTATTGTGTGTATTACAATACAATGCTGAGGTCAATAGAAAGGGCCTCTTGGGTCATAGGAAGAGGTTGGGTTTTGCTTTAAGAACCAGGGGTTTTAAGCAGAAGGATGTGATAAAATTTGAGTTTTGTGGGGAATGGATTGGAGTGGGCAGAGGTGGAGGCAAGGGGACCAGGAAGGGGGCCCTACACTAAGACAACAGTGATAAGTGGAAAATGGGAAGACCTGAGGACTGAAGTAATGAGGGTCTGGGGACCTAGGAAAGAAGCAGGGGACCATGGTGAAGGTTACTACTCGGGGTCCAGGAAGGGATATGCCCATGGATCCAGAGTGGAAGCTCCCAAGTCCATGCCAGAGCAGAGCCTGGGCCCCAGCTGGCCCAAGGTGGGGGTCAACAGTCCCTAACTCCCCAGTCTACCTCTCCACGGACAGGGTCCTTGAACACCTTAGCAGTCTCACCAGAGAAGTGAGCCTGGACTACGAGCGTAGCATGAACAAGATCAACTTTGACCAAATAGTCTCCTCCAAGCCCGGAACGTTCTCCTACGTGACCCTGCCCATGAAGGAGGAGGAGAAGGTACCTGAGCATGGTGAGAGTTGTTGGACCCGTGGCTATCCACCTGGCTAGCTACCCCTCCCACCTCTCCCTCTAGGATGGTCCATCCTACTGCTGCTGTCCTCTTGAGCCTGACACTTCCTTGTGCCCACCCTGTCCCCAGCATTCATAACAATCCTTTACCAGCTGCCTGGAAGGCTCTTGTCAGGGAAATGAGAGAAGGAATCTTTAAAAATATATATTAGCCTTAGTAATGCAGAAACCATAGATAAACATGTACCAGGAAAGCCATGGTCAAAAGTAGATGACAGGGGCTCTGGTGGTCAGACCTCAAGGACATATTGTCCTTCCTTCCTCCAGTAGCAAGAGTGGGGTTGGCATTGCTGCAGCCATGTAGACACGTGGCAGACCAAGTCTCAGAGCAGGATCCTGGGTCCCCAAGTACCCTTGCTTTGAGCTTACCAATTCACGCTAACCTCGTTTCCTAACCTGGCTTCCCATATGTGCTGTGCCCAGGACACTGGCTGGGGTGCAACAGCAGGCATTCTGAGGGGTTCTGATGGCCACAGCTTCCTTTCTTGGGTTTAGAGGGCAGTCTCCTCAGGGTGTATACAGCATGGGCAGGAAATGACAGGTAGAGAATCCATAGTTACCACCTACTTATATAAGGGACCTGTGACTAGAGAGGCCTCAAGGGAATTCCTTACCCATCCCAGAGCCAGCAACTCATTACAGGCCTTGGGGCCACTCTGGCAGGCTGTGGGGAAGAAAGGTTCTGGGAACAAAGCTGTCTCTTCTGGGGAGGAAGCAGGAGACTCAACACCATGTAGCTGCATCCAGACCCCTGGTATATCCCAGGCCCATCTGATATTGATCCTTGGCTCCCACCCTGTAGGAATGGTGCAAGTCCCCAAGTACCCCTTCCGGGAGCAGAAGGAAGACTTCACCTTTGTGTCCCTGCTCACACGGCCAGAAGTCATCACGGCCCTGAGCAAGGTGCGGGCTGAGTGCAACAAGGTGACTTGCATGTCACTGTTCCACTCGAACCTCTCTAAGTACAGCCGCCTGGAGGAATTTGAGCAGATCCAGTCGCAGACCTTCTCCCAGGTGCCTGGACATTAGGGCATGAAGGGTGGTGCAATCAGGCCCTTGGAGCTGAGAGGCACAGGCCAGGGCTCCGAGAAGCCCTTGCTTCTTCCTAGGCCTTGTTGGAGCCTGAGATGGGACTCATTTTGCAGGACAAAGAGGATATAGGGTCACATGAGGATGTTGGTTGGCAGGGCTTGGCAGTAACTTGGAATTTGGGGAGCTCCCTCCCTAGTCAGATGAGTCCTAAGGCCACCTCAAGAACCCTACATAGGGTTCTCAAGTGTGGCAGCTATGGATGGGAGGGGTCTCTGGGTGACTTTGTGGCCACACCTGTGGCCCCTCCAGGTGCAGATGTTCCTCAAGGACAGCTGGATCAGCACACTGAAGGTAGCCATGCGCAGCAGCCTGCGGGACATGAGCAAGGGCTGGTACAACCTCTATGAGACCAACTGGGAGGTGTACCTCATGTCAAAACTCCGCAAGCTAATGGAGCTGATCAAGTACATGCTGCAGGACGCACTGCGCTTCCTGGTGCAGGACTCACTGGCCAGCTTCTCGCAGTTCATCAGTGATGCCTGCTGCAGTGTGCTCGAATGCACCGACGGCATGGTCTGGGGTGAAGACTTCATAAACAGCCCCTACAGGTGGGCCCAGCTGGGCAGACACAGCTGCTCCTTACCAGTCCTCAGTAGCCGGGTTGGTGCAGCCAGGGCCTGACAACAGGCAGAGCGTGCGTGGCTTCCTGGAAGTCACCAACTCTCACTTGCATTCACTCAGTTTTTTAGTTACTTAGTTGAGAAATAATTCTTTGAGCACTTGCCATGAATCGGGCATGGTACTAGGGGAACCAGACATACAGTTTCTGCTGTTTCCAGGAGGAATGGCACAAGTCATTAGACAGATACTGTCCTTGCTGACTTTGTTAGGGACTAGCAGTAGTCACTGGGGGTGGGCCTTTGCCAGAGGATCAGAGAGGTGGTGGCATCTGAACTAATACCTGAGAAATGAAAAGAAATATGGTGTCCACTAGGTGGAGAGACCAACCCATGCAGAGACACCAAAGAGAGAAATGGCTTGGGGCAGCTGGAGAAGGACAGATTGGCCAGTATGGCTAAAGGGGGGTTAAGGGAAGGGAGGCCTGGTCAGGATGAAATGGGAAATGACCAGATCATGAAGAGCCTTCTGGGGTCATGATTGGGGGCTGGGTTTGTTTTAGGTTAGTCAGAAGCCATCAGAGGGGCCCTGGCTGGGATCCAGGTTTCGGGGCTATTGGTGTGTAGTAGTAACATCTGAAACCAATGTTGATGGGCTCCCAGGGAGAGTGTGAGGGTGGGGGGTTCTAGTGCCTAGGGTCTGACCAACCTGCCTGGAGTGGAGGTCTCTCTCTCTGTGGTGCCTGGGGATTTCTGGGCATGAGGATGGAGTAAAGGAATTTGGTGGACCAGGATCTTTCTTTCTGGTAACTTGGAGGTTTCTGGGAGGGACAAGGCAAGGGTTATGCATGGAGAAGCTCAAGGGCTGCAGTGCTGGAAGGAATAGCAGAGGGTCCTACCTCAGGTCCTGCCCACAGTCAGACCAGCTGTTGCCCCTCAGACCCCGGAAGAATCCTCTGTTTATCGTGGACCTGGTGCTGGACAGCTCTGGGGTACACTATAGCACCCCACTGGAGCAGTTCGAGACAACTGTGCTCAGCCTCTTTGACAAGGGCATCCTGGCTACCCACGCTGTACCGCAGCTGGAGAAGGTATATGCTACACTTGGGTAGGGTTGGGCCGCCTGCTGGCCTGGCTCTTAGTGGCTCCCTGAGCTGTAGGGTACTGCCACATCTCAGGACAGTGGAACTGTTTCATGGGTCTCCTCCTGCTTGGTAGGTCATGTGATCAGTCCTACAATTCTCAAATTCCTCCTTTAATCCTCTCCACAGCTGGGTTGTGAACTATTAACACCCCACTTTGTAGATCTGGAGAACTTTAATCATTAGCTTAGAGTCACAAAACTGACAAGTGTCAGAACAGCAACTTGAATCCTGGGCTTGCCACAGCCACATCTGTCCCACATCTTACCCCCTGATCCCACCCAACTCCTACACTCTCTTCATCTCAAGAGCAGACACAAGCCAACTTCCACACACAACTACTATCCAAGGTCCCCACCAATCACCACCAGTGCACACACACACCCTGCCACACACAGCTCTCTCCCCAGGCCCAAGAGCCTTTGGAATTCAAATGCCCTCTCGTTTCTCCTGCTGGCCAGTCAGAGCTACAGCCACCTGGCTGTCCTCTGCTTCTTTCCTTTGCACTGATCAGAGTCTGACATTGAAGCCTTGGATTTGTCTGTAGCCCTCTCAAAGTCATGCTATTGCACCCCCTTTCCCTACCTCCATATTCTTCTGGCTGTGCTTGGCCACAGTGCCACCCAATCAGTCTTTAGGTCACATATCCTTGCTTGCCTTGGAAGGACATCCCTACCTCCAACCCCCTGCCTACCCATCCTGCAGCTCATCCAGCTCTGCCCTCCCCATCCCTTCCTTTGCAGCTGGTGATGGAGGATATCTTTATCAGTGGCAACCCCTTGCTGGAGTCAGTGGGGCTTCATGAGCCACTGGTGGAAGAGCTGCGGGCCATGATCGCTAATGCCATGCACCAGGCCATGGTTCCTCTGCAGGCCTATGCCAAGGAATATAGAAAGTACCTAGAGCTGAACAACAGTGATGTTGCCACCTTCCTCAAGTATGTCCGTGTGTGTGTGTGTGCAAGTTCGAGTGTGCCTGTGTGTGTGTCCCCATATACCCTGCTCCACGTGTCACACTGTCCTTAGGGACTACCAGACACAGAGCCCGACAGCTGAGGAGGTGCGGGAGGTGGTGCTCACCCACCTGATGGAGAAAGAAATCTTGGACAACTCACTGCCCAGCAGCATCGTCATCGGGCCCTTCTATATCAACGTTGACAACGTCAAACAGAGCCTGTCCAAGAAACGCAAAACCCTGGCCAATTCCATGCTGGACATCCTGGCCAAGAACCTACACAATGAAGTGGAAAGTGTAAGTTCCCACCCACCTGGCCCCAGAGGCCATAGCTACACCCAAGAACCCTTGTACACACAGTGTACTCCCACTAGCAAGATGTCTGCAGCCAAGGTCAGGGGTGCCTGCAGAGGCCAACAGAAGGAACTGGAAATCATTCTGCCTCAGTCTCCATATGCCTGTAGGGAGTTGTCCCATATGGGAGGTTGCTAGCTCCTTCCTTAGAGACTTGGGACACCCTCACAAAGGACACCCTGGGATGGACCATTCCAAGAGTTGGAGGTGTACAAGTGCAGGCCTCAGAAGTCTTAAGTGCATTGGTGGGGCCACAGGAGGCTGGGAGGGTGGAGAGATCTAAATGACACCCCTGCCCCACAAGAGACCTCAACAACCCAGGGAGCCTGCTGGGAGCGTCCCTCTTGGGAAGCACTGCAGGGTATGCCTCATGTTGAGACAGTGAGTTACTTTTTGGGAGGCACTGGGGAACTTGAAGAAAAATAGGCCCCAGGGAAGGCAAGGGAGCAGCTCACAGCCCTCTGCAGCATCCTCCTCACACTGCCAGATCTGTGAGGCATTCCGCAGCATCAGCCGCAAAATCTATGAGAAGCCTAACAGCATAGAGGAGCTTGCTGAACTGCGGGAGTGGATGAAGGGCATCCCTGAGAAGCTAGCCATGCTGGAGGTGAGACAGGTGTATGGTTTCTGATGGGGCAGTGTCTAGGACCTGGTGGGCGGCACATGGAGGATAGGTGCAGTTCAGAGGTTTCTGGGTTGGGGATACTGCAGAGGTTTGGAGCTATGCTGTTTAGGGGATCCAGGAGGGCATGGGACAGAAGACTGGAAACTGGGTGTGGTGTCCATGATCTCGGAGCTCTGGGCCTATGGCTGGCCTCACACCCCATACCCCATATGGCCCATAGCCCCAGACCTTCCCTCTCTAGTATCTAACGTCTTTGGAGGAGAGTCTGGTCCCAATAACCCCTTCCTCACCTGTACATGCAGGAGCGGATTGCAAAGGTCATAGATGACTACGAGGTTATAGATGAATTCCTTTACAACCTCAGCAATGAAGACTTCAATGACAAGTGAGTGGGAGCAGAAGGTGGGAGAAGAGTTACTGAGCTTCAGTGACTGCCAAATATTCCAGCTAACACAGACTGTGTAATCACACCAGAAATGCCCTGCCATGATGCCAGATGCCATAATACCACACAGGGACCAGAACCAGGCAGGGTCAGGTAGCCCGAGGGGAAGAAATAAATCACTGAGATGAAATCCTCTTGGCCTAGGGACCCAGCTGCTCCCCTGACCTTTTATCTGTCCCATCAATGGCCTAACACACATTTACTCCAGATTTAGAGTACCCTGATTGTGGTTGGGAATCAGTGAGAGAAGCAAAAGGCCAGCCTGGTGGGTAGTCCCTGGGTCACAATAAAGCTGTCATCCAGCTCTGCCTCACAGATGAGGTTGGGAGTTTAGGACCATTAGGTCCATGCCTAAGAACCCTAAGACACCAGCCTGACAAGGCGTCCAAGAGTTGACATCCCTAGGCAGATACCCTGTTTTGGCCAGGTAGAGGGAATTGGTATAATGAAGGAAGCTGGCCTGGTGGCCCTGGTTGGTCACCAAGGACTTGCAAGCTAGAAACTGTTGTTTTGCTTCATTGGAGGTGAGGCCTTGAAATTCTTAGGGCTTGAGAGGGAACTTGGCATCACTAATCATTTCCCCTTTGCCTCTGACATTGCACTGGGCACACTGGAGTTGCATGGCATTGATGCTGACCACAGCTCCCAGAGGGCAGGGCAGAGGTTGTCTCCCTGATGTTGGCAGTGACAAAGCCTACCTGGACATTCCACTTGCCTAGTCCCAAATGCCTCCAGCTGCTACCTGATTTCCCTGCCTTCCCCCATACCCCTGGCTGCATAGATGCTGGGCCTAGGTGCCTGGCAGGGCACCCCTGCCTGGCCTTTCTACCCCATCATTTCAACTGTGGCATTTCCCCAAACCCCATCCCTATAGATGGGCTGCCAGCAACTGGCCTTCTAAGATCCTCGGACAGATAGAGATGGTGCGGCAGCAGCACATTGAGGATGAGGAAAAGTTCCGCAAAATCCAAATCATGGACCAGAACAACTTCCAGGAGAAGCTGGAAGGGCTGCAGGTGGGGTTTGGCTGAGGACTCTGGATTAGGACCTGCTCCCCACCACACATATATTCTGGCCTTGAGTCCTGTGATTAGGAGGTGCTATGTCAATGTGTGATGGACAAGTGGATGGATAAATGAATAAGTGGTTGAAAGAATGAACTGAAAGGCCAGAGAGATGTCTAGGCAGCAAGCTCTAGAAAAACACACATTTAGAAGACCTTAATTATTCTGTAATGTCCTTGATGTCCTGGTGGGCATTCAGCACAGTGTTCATGGTACTGAGTCTACACCATGTTACCCTGAAGCAGTCAGCCTGCCTTGAGACAGCAACCTGCTCACTCCAAAACAAAGTCCCTCAGAGCTGGAAGAAGACAATGCCCCAGGAGCTCATGTTCCCTGGAAGTGTTGGCTAATGCCTGCGTATGGTGGGACAAGTGGCATCTGACCCCCTGCTCCTTGGCCCACAGCTGGTGGTAGCTGGCTTTTCCACCCATGTGGATATCACTCGAGCACATGAGATTGCCAACGAGGTGCGGAGGGTCAAGAAGCAGCTGAAAGATTGCCAGCAGCTGGCGATGCTCTACAACAACCGCGAGCGCATCTTTGGCTTGCCCATCACCAATGTAGGCCTCCTATGGGCACCCTGCTCTCCTGCCCCCTGTGGGTCTGCAGTTTCTGGTAGCAGGGCTCTGGCATTTCGGGGCAGGACAAAGTGGGCTGCAGTGTGGTAGAGATAACCTTGTGTTGGTTCCCAGAAGAAGGAGGCTGGTGGAATCAGACAGTAGGCCTCTTGAGGGTCAGCCTAGGCCTTACTTAAAAGCTCAGAGCCCAGAGCTTAGGTGGGGTGGGAAGAAGGGAGGCCATGCCTGGGTCTATGGGGACAGGAGTGATAGCAGCCAGGAGCAAGGAGGGAGAAGGGACCTGGCCCAGTAAAACCAGTGTGGAGAGAAGACAGCCCCAGCCCTGCCTTCTGCTATTGCAGTATGACAAGCTTTTGAGAATGGTGAAGGACTTCCAGCCCTACCTAGACCTCTGGACCACAGCCTCTGACTGGCTGCGCTGGTCTGAGAGCTGGATGAATGATCCCCTGTCAGCCATTGATGCTGAGCAGCTGGAGAAGAACGTTATTGAGTCCTTCAAGACCATGCACAAGTGTGTTAAGCAGTTCAAGGACATACCAGGTAGGTAGCCAAGACAGCCTGTCTTCCCTGTTCCCACCTGTGCCAGCTGCCTCTCATGCCTGCCTGCCCTACCCTACAGCCTGCCAGGATGTCGCCTTAGACATCCGAGCCCGCATTGAGGAGTTCAAGCCATACATCCCGCTGATCCAGGGGCTGCGCAACCCTGGTATGCGGAACCGGCACTGGGATATACTCTCCAATGAGATCAACATCAATGTCAGACCCAAGGCCAACCTGACCTTTGCCCGCTGCCTTGATATGAACCTTCAGGACCATATTGAGAGCATCAGCAAGGTGGCTGAGGTTGCTGGCAAGGAATATGCCATCGAACAGGTGGGCAGCCACCAGCAGGTCCACCCCACCCCACACAGGCACTGCTAGACAGCCTGGCCTCCAGCCCTTGCAATAATAGCCACTTGGGAGGATGACAGTAATGGCCCCTTCCCTGGGGAAATCATATCTAGGGGGAGAGGTGCATTCTAGTAAGTACTTGGCATGGTGCCCACTGTTGCTATTAGTCCTCAGTTACCCCTCAAGATCCTAGAAAGAAGCTGTTAGCATATTCCCATTTAGCAGATAAGTACAGGAGCTGGGAGTATCACTCAGAGAACTCGCTTCGCAAGTGTGAGGCCCTGGGTTTGGTCCCCAGGACTGCAAACTTAGTCAATTAATTAATTAATTAAACAGATGAGTACCTTATGGCTCAGGAATGTTTAGCAATGGCCTAGTTGACATGTCCAGTAAGTGTCAGAACTGAGACCAGTGTTCATATTCCTAACTGGCATCTTAGCTGCTGCTTCCCAACATTTATGTGCAAACATGTCATATATATATAGCACATATGTGAGACTGAGCTGGACCTGAATTCAGACAAAGGCCCATAGGGGACTCATTGACCAGGACAAAGTAAGAGTATTTGCCAGGCAATATAGCCAAGCAGGTTCTGTTCTTCCCTGCCCAGTACTAGTCAGACAGACTGATGGCCAGCCCCTTCCCAGGACCCAACCTTGATTCGTCTTCCACCCCAGGCACTAGACAAGATGGAGAAAGCGTGGTCCACCATCCTGTTCAATGTGTTGCCCTACAAGGAGACAGAAACCTACATCCTCAAAAGCCCAGATGAGGCCTCACAACTGCTGGACGACCACATTGTCATGACCCAAAGCATGTCCTTCTCACCCTACAAGAAGCCTTTTGAGCAGCGCATCAACTCCTGGGAGACCAAACTGAAGCTCACCCAGGTGAGCCCTTCTCCCTCTGTCCTTCCCTCATCCTTCCCCCCACCCTCAAGGAACCCTGTTCCATAAGTGGCATTTTCATATAGTACCTGGTTGAAGCTCAGGTCAGTGGAACCTTGCCCATGCTCCCCTAGCTCCTGGCTCTCTGACAACAGAGGGCTGTCACTCTCCAGAAGAGGGTGACTGGAATGGGCCGGGCTGTCCACTATGAGGTTAGCTACTGAAAGAGGCAGTTAGGCTTAAGGGCAGGATTTAGTCTAAAAATGTGGTTGCCAACAAACCTCCAAAGGGCTGCCTGGGCTTGGGAAAGTCAGAACCTCTTGTATTGGAACTTTGTGGGCCGGACACAATGAGGCCCCAGGCTTCTCATACCCTTTTCCACCCTGCCCTCAACTTCCCGTTCCCATCTCATTTGGTGCTACCTTAGGGAGAGGCACCAGGGCACTGGGAACTACCCCTGTCTCTGGCTCTCAAGACAAAAGCAGGGGCTTCTCACAAAGCCCTGGTGGACGGGCCTCAAGGTGTATCCAACAACCCCCAAGAAAGGGGGGGAGTTGTATGCCTCCTGAACTAGCTAGAGATGCCTGTGCTGGTCATCATTGTTCCTGGCTTCCCTCTTTTCTCAGGCTGTCCCCTCTCTGGAGTTCTACCCCACCTCCCTTCTCCTCCAAGGCTCAACACAAGGCTTTTCCCCACACCTTCCTACAGGGTGCACCACTGAGGTCCTTAGTCATTGCCTCTTACAGCGACCAACACACACGTTGGGACCTTGGTGATCCACGGACAGAATAAGCCCCTTAGTGGACTGTGGCCTCCTCAAAGGCAGGAGTCCTATACTGTTCCCCCTTCCTCCTGGTACCCACTTGCGCCTGGCACCAGTCATCTCATGAAGAAGAGATGAATGAACAAGTTTGCACTGATGGGAGAAGATGAGAGATAAATCTTGAGTGGGGAATTGGGAGGCAGAAGGGTGAGGTGACTTGTTCTGAAGATATCTCACCCTTGGACTGTTTCAGAGAGCTTTTTAAGGAACTCAAGTTCAAGTCCCAATTAAACCTCAGAATCCTGGCCATGACCCAGGATTCAGAGGAGACTGGTTTGGTTTTCTATAAACTGAGTGACTTTCCTATGTCACCGAGGGCCTAGGGGGTTTGCTGTTTTGCTTTTGGAGGTGTGAACATGCTGTGGGGCCATGGGATTTCTTTAGAGGACAGGAATCCCTGCACATTTCTGTTCCCTGGAGTTCCTTGCTGTCAGCACCATCTAAAAGTTACCCTGAGGAAACTGGCTCTGGTGCCCAGCACTTTGATAGGGTGAAATGTTTGGTCATGGGGACAGAACCCAACTTGAGCCCTGGACCTTTACAGTTCATACTCTGCCCCTCCCTTCCCAGGAGGTGCTGGAGGAATGGCTGAACTGCCAGCGGTCCTGGCTCTACCTTGAGCCCATCTTCAGATCTGAAGACATCACCCGGCAACTGCCTGTGGAAAGCAAGCGCTACCAGACCATGGAGCGGATCTGGAGGAAGATCATGAAGAACGCCTATGAGAACCGGGAGGTGAGCTCCATGGGGCAGGGAGGGCAGCGGGAACCCAAGGGCTCTGGTCACATTGTTGGGAAACTCTTGGTCTCTTTCCTCCCTAAACAAGAAGGACTCAAGGCCAAGTCCAAGGCTTTGGCTATAACCTGTAACCTCTGAAATAGTTCCCTGATCCTTTAGATGCTCTTCAGAAGCACAGCAGTGATGGTTTTTCTCTTGGAGATCTACAGTCCACATTAGCATTTTAGAGGCCCTGACAAGTCTTGCTGCAAAACAAACTCCTTAGCTTTGCTTCACTCTCATTTTTTTGACCATTTTATAATTCTCTGTGTAGTTGGCAGGGCTGAGTGAGTCAGTCTGTAGCTCAGAGACAATTTTCCTGCCCCATACTTCCCAGGCCCCAGTGAGGGTTTCTGACTAGCATGGGTGCTCTCTGGTGAGCCCACCTTACCTTCTCTTAGTTGGACCATGCACACTTCCACTTTGTCTCTGGGCCTGGCCCTGCAGGTCATCAATGTGTGTCCTGACCAGAGGCTGCTAGAGAGCCTGCGGGACTGCAACAAACTGCTGGACCTGGTGCAGAAGGGCCTCAGCGAGTACCTAGAGACCAAACGGAGTGCCTTCCCGAGGTGGGTATCATGAGCCATGCCAGTGTCTGCTGCAAAGCTAGGACCTCAAGTGCCCTGCCAGACTAGGATGCAAGCATATCAGTGGTGCTTGGGCTTGCTAGGGCCATGGAACCTGCCAGGCCCACGCTCTCACCCTTGTCTCCTGGCAGATTCTACTTCCTGTCAGATGATGAGCTGCTAGAGATCTTGTCCCAGACAAAGGACCCTATGGCTGTGCAGCCCCACCTGCGCAAGTGCTTCGAGAACATTGCCCGGGTGGGTAGCTGGGCCTGGGACTGAGGGCCAGCAACACTGAAGCCCACCCCGGTGGGACATCTCTGCCCTCATGCCAAGCCCATTATGTAGAGATGGGGTGGCAAGAGAGATTAGGGGTCTTGACTTGGTGGGAAGAAATTCAACTATAAGAACACCCCTCTGCTCGGGGCTGGGGCCCTAGGCTCCTCACTCATCCAGGGGCTCCATATGCCCCCAGCACAGAGACGTATTGGCTGGCTTGAGAAACCCAGGAGGCCAGAAGGTTTGTGACCCTCATCTTGCCCTCATCCACCAAGGAGGCCACACAGGTCTGTGAAGGACAGGGACATGCAGGGCTGACCTAGCCTCCTTCCAAGTGCCTGCCTCAGTCCAGGCCTGGGCCAGGGCTGGGGCACAGCTGGAGAAAGGCAGATGCGTCCTTCCTGCCTGAAGTCAGAGAAGGCTCAGCCAAAGCAGACCCTGGGGGTGGGGGAACAAGGGGCAGAGTTCTCTTCCTAAAGGGGAGGGCACTGGCCAGGTCAGCCTGGGGCTGGAGGCAGGCCCTCTGGTACACCCAGGGTGACCTGTACTTGGTCCCCCATTGCCCACAGCTGCTGTTCCAGGAGGACCTGAAGATCACACACATGTACTCGGCGGAGGGTGAGGAGGTACAGCTATCCTTCTCCATCTACCCCACCAGCAACGTGGAGGACTGGCTGCTGGAGGTGGAGCACAGCATGAAGGCCAGTGTGCATGACATCATCGAGAGGGCCATCCGGGCCTACCCCACAGTGAGCACACCCCTCCTACTTGGCATTCCCACCTGGCCCTCCAGGCTGCTCCCTCCTCCCTCCTCAGTGCCTCTCTCTGTTCTCACTTGCCTCCTTCTCAGGCTGCAGCCCTGACCAAGGCTGCTTTCAGTCACCATGAAGTCTTCCCTTTCCACCCACACTCTGGAAAGTGAGACTCACTATAATGATAATCATGATTGTAATCACTTACTATGCTCCAGAAGCACTTACCATACTCCCAGGCCTAGGCTGGAACCACGCCAGCATTCCTCTCTCCATCCCTCCACCCATACTGTAGAGGAAGGACTGTAGAGGAAGCCCCAGTCCAGAGGCTGTTCAGGGATGTGTTCTACTCAAGAGCATGTGATTTGCAGGGATAGATCTAGGATTCGAACCCAGGACTGTGTGCTCCCTGATTCTGGGCTCCCACCCATCTTCTCCAAGGCCTCATCTGCTGAGGAAATGTTGATCCTGCCCACCCCGAGAAGCTTAATGACTTCTTTCCATTTTGAGGGACTGGTGGAACGAATGATTAGAACCCAGAGTCTGCAGGACCAGAGGACAGACAATGTTCAAGGGAAGAAGAGGGGAAGGGACAGCTGGCGGCTGCCTGGGTCAGCCTGCCCATGTTGTTTTTCCAGATGCCCAGGACCCAGTGGGTTCTGAACTGGCCAGGCCAAGTGACCATTGCTGGCTGCCAGACGTACTGGACCATGGAAGTTGGGGAGGCTCTGGAGGTCAGCAACCTCAGCAGCCAGCTGTTTCCCCAGCTCTCCAAGCAGGTGAGAGCAAAGAGTGTCCCTGCTCCCCACACCCCTGGAGAGCCCAGCCCCAAAGGAACTTTTTCCGACATTGAGTCTGCAAGAGGCCAGGGGTTGGGTCCAAAGAGCAGGTCAGACACCCCTGAAATGGATGTCTTACAATAGTCACGAGCAGAAGGGACTGGGAACCTGAGGAGAGCTCTGAGGCCAGGCAGATCCCCCTCTCCCAATGGTCAGTGAAAGAACCACATACCTGGGTCCCTCTTGTGTCATTCCTTAGGCTATCCTTGCTCTGTGTACTGGCTCCTCAGCACACTCCAGCCTCCAGTTCCTCACTAAGTCTACCACCTGTTCCTGAAGGTTCAGGTGGCACTGCGCACTACAAGGAGGCCTGTAATGTGGTTAGCCACAGGTCAGCCCAACCCAGCTGGTCCCTGACTGTGCCTCTGCCTTTATTCACTTCCTTCCTCTGAACCGATCCTTGGTCCCTTCCCCTTCCAGACCATCAGAAGCCCCCAGAATAGGGGGTGGTTCACAGAGAAGCCTATCCTCTGTGCAAGGGAGGGGGAGCCTCCCCTGCAGATCCTGGATCTCTGACAGGACTCCCCGCTCCTGCAGCTCAGTGACCTGGTGGCCCTGGTACGGGGTAAGCTGTCCCACATGCAGCGAGCAGTGCTGTCAGCGCTGATTGTCATTGAGGTCCACGCCAAGGACGTTGTAAGCAAGTTGATCCAGGAGGGAGTGGTCAGCGTGAATGACTTTGAGTGGATCTCACAGCTCAGGTAAGGGCATGAGGGCCATCCAGGCCAGAGTGTCTCCAGGAGATAGTCAGGGGAGGGACAGACAATCAGTTAACAATAGGTTGCTCCCTGCCCTCAAGGATCTGGGACAAGCTGGGCAGGGATACTTCAATGCCCTCATTCCCCAAAAGTACCCCCTCTCCTCAACTACATACCTGGCCAGTGGCCCACAGCCAGGAACCCGTGTCCTGCACTGACAGGTACTACTGGACAAATAACAACTTGTACATCCGTGCTGTGAACGCCGAGTTCATCTATGGCTATGAGTACCTAGGAAATAGTGGAAGACTGGTGATCACACCCCTCACTGACAGGTTCGGGTCCCCACCCTCCACCCCATTGGGTTTTCTTTTGTTTTGGAAGTTTTTTTGGCAGTACTGAGGTTTGAACCCAGGGCCTTGCACTTGCTTGGCAAGCACTTACTACTTGAGCAACAGTTCTTAGCCCTTTTTGCTTTAGTTATGTTTCAGATAGGGTCTTGCACTTTTTGCCCCAGTCAGTTTCAGATCACAGTCCTCCTACCTACACTTCCTGTGTAGCTAGGATTACAGACATGAACCACCATGTCCAGGTTGTTCTTTGAGATAGGGTCTCACTAACTCTTTACCCAAGCTGGCCTGTAATCATGGATCCTCCCAAGTCCCAGTTGGGTTGTATGTAAGGGAAGTGGTTAGCCACAGGTCAGCCAGCCAAGCAGATCCCTGGGCCATGAAGTGGAGTAGGTAGCCGTGGGTTCCAATCCTAACCCTAGCAGCCAGGGCTGGCACACCTGGGCGCTGAGGGGGTTGGGAGGAATGAGAGCCACCATCCATAAGGACCAAGAAAAGGAGGTTCCCTGGGCTGTGCAAACCCCCAGAAGTGGATATATGTGGCCCATGGGTATATGTGGCACCCAGGATATATGTGGCCCATATCTACCTCCTCTTACTCCCACAGGTGCTATCTGACCCTGACTGGAGCTCTGCATCTCAAATTTGGGGGTGCCCCAGCTGGTCCAGCTGGCACAGGGAAAACAGAGACCACCAAAGACCTGGGCAAGGCCTTCGCCATACAGACAGTTGTGTTCAACTGCTCTGACCAGCTCGATTTCATGGCCATGGGCAAGTTCTTCAAAGGCCTGGCTAGGTAAGGCCAGGTGTGAGGGTGGCACAGGGCAAGGGGAGAAGGCTGAGCTCTTCCTCCAACCCCAGGTAGAGCTAGGCAAGGGCACTGCCCAAGAGGAGCCTCACCAGATGGTGGAGGGGACAGGATGGGGTGACAGGAGTCAAAGGCTTAACTCAATGTCACTAGGATCAGGGCAGACATAGCAGTGTGGCTGAGCTGCTGAGGATCGCCACTGAGGGCTTCCTCCCCAGCACACTCAGAGGAGCCTCGGGAGGGAGGTGCCTAGTGGGCTCAGAGCACGTGTGCCCTACCCAATGTTCTGGCCTCACTTAGTGCTGGGGCCTGGGCCTGCTTCGATGAGTTCAACCGCATTGACATCGAGGTGCTGTCAGTGGTGGCACAGCAGATCACCACCATCCAGAAGGCACAGCAGCAGCGGGTGAGTCTCAGGCACCGCCCCCCCACTGCCATGCCACCCCTTCACCACTGCACTACCAGTGCCACCCTGCAGCTCCCACACTGCAGGAGAGAAGTCAGGTACTCAGGCCTACCCGGGCCAGCCTTTCTTATCTCACAGGGGTATGGCACTGTCTCTTACCCCAGTTTAGGCAGCAAACAGGCCAAGCTCTGGCAGGTAAAGGATCCTACATCCCAATGCTTGTGGAAAGTCCCAGGCATTAGCCTTTCCACCAACCTTGATCAGGATAGCAAGGGATCTTATTCTGGGGATAAGAACTGAGAGACTGGTAGAACCCCCACACACACACACACCCACACCCACAAAGTAGGGCCCCAGTTCCTGGTCAGGGCTGAGCTTGCCTAAGCCTGGGGAGATCCATGTCGGGAGTTTGGAGTGAAGAGTGGAAGCAGGGGCTGTGTGTGAACCTCAGAGGGACTAGAGCCAGAACCTGGGTGGGAGGCCATGGGTGGTGAGCGGTACCTAAGGGCTTAGTCCAGATCCTCAGAGAGGATTCAGCCCATGATCAGGGCTTCAGTCCTGGCTGACCAGCTGCTGCCAGGACAGAGGAACCAATAGGGGAGAAGGGGTCCCATCCAGAGGAGGCAACAGGGCTGGGCACCCTCTGCTCCAAGTGACTCAAGCTCCCACCCCCCACCACAGGTGGAGCGCTTTATGTTTGAGGGTGTCGAGATCCCACTTGTACCATCCTGTGCAGTGTTTATCACCATGAACCCTGGATATGCTGGCCGAACAGAGCTGCCTGACAATCTGAAGGCAAGTTCAGGCCCAGGGTGGCCTGGCCACCAGAGTTCTGGTCTGGAATCTGAGATACTAAATCACTGATTCAAGGGCACACAGCTGCCGGACATCAGGCACTGTGATTTCCTATGGCAGCGCTCCTGCCCAGAGGTCCTGAGGCCCATCCCCAACTGTCAAGGAGAAGCCCCAGGCTTTTCCTCAGAACATGGAGAAATCTAAGCTGCCTAGGAGTATGGGGGTCCGCTGACAGGAGCTGCTAGGCCCAGCCTAGCAGCTGGGGAAGACAGGAGCTAAGAGGGGCCACCTCCGGGGAACTGTATGGGGGCAGGTTCAGATCAACACCAAGGACCTGTTTCTAATGGCCAGAGCTGTCCAACCACATGGGGAGCGGAAGCCTCAGCCATGAAAGGTATGATGCAGAAGGGAATCCCAGCTTTCCCTAGGAAGGAGGGTCAGGTGAAGCTGCCTTCTGAAGACCAGAGAGTGGGTGGTACCAAAGAGGGTAGGGTGAGGGCCGATGTCTGCCTACTGTTCACACATGCACTATGTTCCCAGGCACTCTTCCGGCCCGTGGCCATGATGGTTCCGGATTATGCCATGATTGCGGAGATCTCCCTCTACTCCTTTGGCTTCAGTGAGGCTAATGTGCTGGCTAAGAAGATCACGACAACCTTCAAGTTGTCTTCGGAGCAGCTCAGCTCCCAGGTGAGACCCCAGCCAATTTCCAAAGTCTAAGAAGCATTGCTGTCTGCCCTCAGACTCTAGACCTGCTCTGAATTCACTTTATATTGAGTGTCCAGCTCTGTGCTAGCTGCTCTGCATGCATCTTCTTATTGACTACTCCCAAAAACCCTGCAAGATAGGAGTTATATCCCTGTTTCTCAGCTGATGACGCTGGGGTCTAAGCAGCTAACAGCCTGGCCAGGCCCATGGAGCAGGAGTTAAGAACATGACACTGCAGTGCACCCCTGACTGCCAGCACTCCCACACCCTACTTTATAATCATCCACTTTGAAAAGTATCCCCCACTGAAGCAACTATGCCACATGGTTTTGGAAACACACTCAGCCCTTCCCAGTCAAGCCCAGTCTCCATACAGCTCCAAGACCAAGATTTCTGGGGCTGGTCTTTGGGTTAGGTCTACGGGTGGTCTGACACCATGGGGCAAAATGAAGCAGTTAACTGTTTTCAACACACCTACAATATCACTGGGAGAAACAGAACCAGTAGGAAAAACCAAACGGTATGGCCCAAAGATTGGCTTTAGAGAGATGTTGCAGAGAATGTTAGAGGAAAACTCAAAGGCCATGGAGACCAGCCCATTTATTGCAAATGACAAACCCCCTCATTCACTTCTGGAACACACCTGAGGGCCTCCCTGCCCTTGGCACCGTGAGGAGACTGCAGGAATTTAGCTGAGACCAAGGCAGCCTTGAACAAAGATGCAGAATAGGTAATACAGCATGTGAGGAACACTGGAATGATGGAGTGGAAAGTCCCAGAGAAGCCCAAAGGCGAGAGACCAGCCCAGGCTGGAGCATGCAAGTGGGTAGTCACAGAGGCCCAGCAGGAGAAGTGACATTTCAACTGTGAGCTGGGTGATCAGGCGTGGCCAGGTACCAGGTAGGAGGCAGAGCATTCCAGGCAGACCCCAAGAAGGACAGCACCCACCCTGGCCTTCTGTGCAATGTGAACAGGATCACTATGACTTCGGGATGCGAGCTGTGAAGACTGTGATCTCAGCAGCTGGGAACCTCAAGCGAGAAAACCCCAGTATGGATGAGGTGAGCTGTATCCTCAGGGTTCCTACAGAAAGGGTTCAGGGCAGCTGCAGGCCACTGTGCCCACCACCCTGAAGACTGAGCCAGTGCTTGCTGCAGGAGCTGATCTGCCTCCGGGCCATCAGGGATGTGAACGTGCCCAAGTTCCTGCAGGAGGACCTCAAGCTCTTTGCGGGAATTGTGTCTGACCTGTTCCCCACCATCAAGGAGGAGGACACTGACTATGGGATCCTGGACAAAGCCATCCGCAAGGCCTGTGAGAAGAAAAACCTCAAGGACGTGGAGGGTGAGCTGCCAGCCCCTGCCTGCCTATAGTCCTGTGGGTATCTGAGGAGAGGCTGGCTCTAGCCACCTTAGAGTCCACTCTGGGAGACAAGGACAGGACACCTCAGCCTCAGGGTCCCTTTACACCTGGCCAAGTGTGTCCCTGGCCCTGTCTCCACTGGGGCCCACTAGGTGATGGGAAGCAAGTGCTGTCCCCTTTCTGGGATCTCACGATTGAGGCCCTCCTGTCCATTGAGTAGTGGTCTCAGTCCCTGGTCTCAGGCACGGACTCCTTGCTGACAGTGGCTATCCTGTCTCTGTCCTCACCTGCTTGGGTGCTGGTAGTGAGGGAGGATCCCAGTCCAGTCACCACATGTCCATGGAGCTTGAGCCTTCATTCCTTCTGTCCCCTGACACACCTGCTCCCACTCCCTCCCAGAGGGTCCTTAGGAGTGAGGGACACCCCCAGAAAACTGAGGCTCAGCAGCTCTGGCCACATAGAGCCTTCCTCTGGGGCCTGATGTGCACAGCCCTGCAGGCCCTCTCCCCCGGACCCTCCACATGTGCTCTGTACACATGTGGCTCTAATGCTTCCTTCTCTGGCCACCTCCTACTCTCAGGCCCAGCAGATTTGCTCAATAAAGCCTCGGGCTCCTCGCCCTCACTGACTTAGGTCAGCTTTGCCACCCCTGACTAATTGGACTCTGTCCCTTTTGCAGGGACCCCTGGGCCTGCAAGGCCAGAGCTACCAGCCCCTACTGCCCTTGCACCAAAGCAGTGCACTCATTCCCTATCTGTGTGGGCCTGGCCCTCTTCCTGTGACTGGCAGATGTCCCTATAGCTCCTGACTCACTAGGATTTCATCCCTAGGATTTTGCTCCATATTAGCCACTTACTGGCTCTCTCAGCAGGTTGGGCAGGAGCTCAGAGGGCAGAAGTCAACTCTGGGGCCTGTGACGGCTGACCACCTAACAGAGGATGTTAGGGAGTAACTGCAACTAGACATGACTGGCATCTACAAAGTTCCTACCGACACATCAGGCTCTGTGCTTGGGGTTTCACCTGTATCTTCCTATGAGATAGGAACAACTGTCACCCCACTTTATAGATGAGGAAACAGGCTCAGGGAGAGTGAAGTACTTACCCAAGGTCACACAAGCTAGTGGCAGAAGCAGGACCCAAACCCATGCTCTTACCTTTGGTTCCCCTTCCATGTTCCTCAGGCTTCCTGACCAAGTGCATCCAGCTCTACGAGACCACAGTGGTGCGGCATGGCCTCATGCTTGTTGGGCCCACAGGCTCTGGCAAGAGTAACGTGAGTAGAGCCAAGCTGGGCAACCCAGTGTCTGGACAGTGGGCCTGAGAGGTTGGGCAACTTCAACAGAGGTGTTGGCCTCCACTGATATCCCCTTGGCCTCTAGAGTGATCCTCCCACTTCCTGTGGTCACCAGTCCACTCCATCCCTTCTCTCTGGGGAGCCAGGGAGCTCACTGGGGTGGGATCTTCCCAGTGTTATAGAGTCCTGGCAGCTGCTATGACGATGCTGAAAGGGCAGCCATCTGTCAGTGGTGGTGTGTATGAGGCTGTCAACTACTACGTGCTCAACCCCAAGGCTATCACAATGGGCCAGCTGTATGGGGAGTTTGATGTGCTCACCCATGAGTGGTAAGTGACCTCTGACCCCCTCCAGTAACTGCTCTGCTCCCAGGCCTCTGAAGGCTATCTGTGGGCCGTGCCACCCCCTCAACCCCATCCACTAGTGGCAGATTGGTAGCTGAGGCTCTCAGCCCAAAACCAGAGGATTTAGCCACTATTTCATTTCCTCTCTGGGTACCTTCCTCATCCTCCCTTGGTTCCCTCCTCTGCACAGAGAGGATAATGATGTTCTGTTATTATGGTAAGGCAAGAATGAAACACATGGAAAGTGGCTGGGACAGTATCTGGCACCTAGTTGATGCTCAGCAAATGGCTGTTGTCATTGCCCTGAGAGAGGCTAGTGGTCCCTCTCAGGGCCTCTGCTCCCAGGCTAGCATGCATTTTAAGGGAAGTGCATTGAGCTAGGAGAAGGGCAACTGAGAAGAGATCCCTCAAATGTTATCACATGAAAGTCTTTTCTCTAGAGCTGTTCCATTTCTCCAGAGTCTCCACCTCCTTCTTAGGAGTGTTTGCTTGGCTCCAGTGTCCTGCCAAGACCAATGAGAGGTAGACACTGGAAAGGGATAGTCACCCATCTTTCCCAGTGTGGACCTGTACTGAATCCCTACTTCTGGTGAAGGGGCTCACTGGTATCCACTCCAGTCTCTTATGTGGAGGGGTGGGAGTCTGCAGGTCAGACCAGAAAAACATTACATTAAAGAAAAAATTATTCAGTATCCAGTGATACCCTTCAAAGCATGCTAAAGAAGACTTTATTCAGGGCCGTTACCATAAGTACAAGGACCACTGCAGCAAGGGAGAGAGAGAGCATGGGCAAGTGGGACTTTATAGCCAAGGAGCAGGGTGGGGATTAGTGGATAGAAAATTACTAGAGGATCCAAAAAGGGTGAATCACAGGATTCTTGCTGAAAACAGACCTCACCTGATCAGATACTGAGGTAGATTAGGTATCCAGGGTCAGAAATTCTGGCTAAATTAACTTAGCAAGCCTCTTTGCCCAAACTGGATCTTATGAGGAAGTACACAGATGGTTCAGGAGCTTGACTAAGGTTTGACAAGACAGAGAATCTAGTGCTCCCTTCCCTGGACTGTGGAGCCTCTGAAGTGTGAGCCTCTTGGGGTTCTGTGGCAAGACGTGGTCCTTCTCAGCCTTCCAGAGCTATGCGTGTCCCATCTCTGTTGTTGCCTTTTCCACTATTCCTTTTGTCCTGTTGGGATACCACCATTTATCTTCCTTTAATGTGACCTCCATGGCAATTCAGCAGGGTGGGAGATAAAAACATGTTTCTGTTATATGATGTTATACCAAAAAGCCCCATTTTTCCTATTATAATTTTTAAATGATCAAAAATACTGACGGAGTTAAAAAAGCAGATAGGAGCCATTGGGCAGCCAGGTTTCCCTGGGAACCAGCTGTGCCTGCCACCCTGCCTCCCTGGTACCTATAGCCCTGTCCTCCCTGGTGGCTGCAGGACAGATGGGATTTTCTCCTCTCTCATCCGGGCGGGGCTGTCACCAATGACACCAACAAGAAGTGGTACATGTTCGACGGGCCAGTAGATGCTGTCTGGATTGAGAACATGAACACGGTGCTGGATGACAACAAGAAGTTGTGCCTCAGCTCTGGGGAGATCATCAAGCTCACAGAGGTGCGCTCCCCTGTCTGCCCATACACTTTCTCTATCACGGGTGAGCCAAGAGGCCATGCCACATTGACCAAGCCTTGTCCCCTCTACCCCCGCTTCTTGGGACCACAGCTGCATCTCAGACCACCACTACCTCTTGTTGGGATCACAGAGTCCTTGACCCGGAAGGGCTCAAAAATGGAATGAACAAGACAGGACATATGAAAGGACTTACTCAGGAAGGGAATAACAAAACACATATCAAGAGGGCCAGCAGGCTGATGACTAATTGGCAAAATTTTATTTTTCTCAGCACACTTTGTACAAAAGAGGAAGAGACTTAAACATCAAAACACTCTGACCTAGTTACAACCTTTCTGTTTTTGCAATCCTGTATTTTTACTGCCAATGTCCTTGACTAAGTATAAACTTGTTTTCAGTCAAGGGAAACCATTTAGCGTTCCTTCCCACCGTGATAGAGACATGGTGCACCTGCACATTCTGACCTTGTCAGAATGCTGCTAAGCCACGGCCACCTTGTTAGACTGTGGCTTTTGGTTCCCAACCACCTCCCACCTAGGAACCTACTACCTGTCAAGAGCTAGGGCGTGGTTCCCAGTGCCCCTCCCTGCCCCTGAGCTCCCTCACCTTGGCTATCTGCTGCTCAGTTGCTCAGTGCTGCTTTTTCAGTAGACCCACTTCCTGGGATGCTCTGGGATCAGGGCCAGAATGACTGTCCCACTGTTTCCCAGACGATGCTGCCTTTTGCCTCCCAGGCCCACTTTCAGCCATGTCAACCTAGTCTTAGCCATAAGTCCACCCAGTTCTGGCAACATGCCCAGGGTCTGGAGATAGGTGACATAGACCTGGTCACAAGGACCTGCTTGGTATAGGAGAAGCAGTTCTCTTCTGAAGAAAGAGGGATATGGGATAGGTATACGAGCATTTCACAATGTGTGCTGAGCTGGGATCCTGAGAACATATGGCATGCAATATAGACTTGTGTCCCAATGGGCCCTGGAACAGGGCACAACAGTTCCTGTCTCCAGGTCCCAGGTGTCCAGGGACCTCAGGCTGGCCAGAGAATCCCAAGAACCTTCCAATTTGGGCTCCTCTTCTGGGCTCCAGGGAGGGAACATTATCAGCTGAAGGCCCAGGGGTCTCTGCACCCAACCCCCACCCCCCAACCCACAACCTGCCCACAGATCTCTCAGACAGGATGTGCAGTCGTCTCCCCACCCCACCCCCCGCCCCCGGCCCTTATGCCTTTCCTCTGCCTCCGGAGCCTAGCAGCTGGCCCGCTCACACACTTCATTTTGAAACTAGGCAATGACCATGATGTTCGAGGTACAGGACCTGGCAGTGGCCTCCCCAGCCACCGTGTCCCGCTGTGGCATGGTGTACTTAGAGCCCAGCATCCTGGGCCTCATGCCCTTCATTGAGTGCTGGCTAAGAAAGATCCCTACCTTGCTGAAGCCCCACGAGGACCAGTTCAAGGACCTCTTTGCCAGGTTTCTGCAGGTAAGTGAGGCCACAGGTATCCCAGTCAGGTGAGACAGCAGAGCACTGTGGCCACCGGCCATGACAACCTGATGCTCACTCCCTACAGGATTCCATTGACTTTGTTCGGTCCTCAGTGAAGGAGGTGATCCCCTCAACCAACAGCAACCTGACCATCAGCTTCCTTAAGCTGCTCGACTGCTTCTTCAAACCCTTTCAGCCTAGAGAGGTACAACCTCAGTCAAGCTACAGGCGTAGCCTCTCTTGCCTCCTGCTGTCCTTGCCTAGGCTGCCGTTGGGCTCAGAATCCCTGCTTCCTGGAAGATGAATTGGATTGATGTGGAGCCACCCCATCCAAAGTCCTATAGAGAAACAAAGCCATGGCATGTCCCCACCCTACTTCTTCAGGCCAACCAGTACTTCTCCTACGTACACAGATCTTTTTTCCGCTGTCCCCAGGACCTCAAGAGGTTCCCCTCAGAAAAACTCAGTCGCATCTCAGAGCTGATCGAGCCCTGGTTCATCTTCTCTCTGGTCTGGAGTGTGGGCGCCACTGGGGACAGTAGCAGCCGCATCAGCTTCAGCCACTGGCTGAGGAAGAAGATGATAGCAGAAAATGTGAGAGAGGGGTGCTCCCAATCCAGGCCCCTTGGGCCAGAAGCAGGCAAAGCCCCTGGGCTTCACAGGCTGCTTTTTCTCCTGGTCCCCGGCAGCTGACTCTCCACTTCCCTGAAGAGGGGCTGGTGTTCGATTACAGACTGGAGGACGCCGGGATCAGCAGCACAGAGGATGAAGACGATGAAGAGGAGGAGGGCAAGCAGGTGGCTGCAGGCCAGGGTGGGAAGGGCCTCACTGGGTGGTGGCTGTTCTTAATGACTAACAGCCACCAAGAGAAAGCCCCGTTGACAACCACCAGGTCTCAGGCTGGGGGTAATTTGCATCACCTTATGGATCTGCACAGCCCTTTCTGGGTGGTTATTATTGTGCCCATTTTCCAGACAAGGAAACTGATGCTCAGAATACTCACACTCAGCTAGTGAGCGGTAAGGCTGGACTTGAACCTGGGGCTGGGAAATGTCCGAGTGCCTCCCTTTCCAACCACATGCACTGCTTCCTCTGTGGTTGATACTGAGCCCGGGGTCTAGCCACCGTAGTTTTACTTAACAGCTTCATCTTCCCAGGGAATAATGAGCTCTGTAAGAGCCCGGAGAAAAGCTCTCTGACCTGCCTTCTCAGTGTCCTCATCTCTTCTATCAGCCAGTGATACCCAATGAGCCCACCCTTATTCCAAGATCAAAACCCAGTCAAGAAGGAGAGGACAGAGAGCATCTACAGAGACCTGATTTGTACTATGTAGGGTCCCAAACTGCCCCAAGTGGAACATGTTGCTTTGGCCATAATAAACCCCTCATGGAAAGAAGTCTGCATGCTGGGTCAGGGCTGTGGGTGAAGGGATTCATGCAGGCAGGGGCGGTGGGGAGACCAAGCCAGGTGGCCTCAGCATCCAGCTGATGCCAGTGCCCTTTTTCTAGTCCCCACACTCCTTGGTTAGCCTGAAACTAAACAGCAGGCATCTTTGCATTCTGGGTTGCCCAATTCCCAGAGCATCTCCTGGCAATCCGTAGGGTACTTATCCAAGACACCTGTGTGTGAGGAAGTCCCTACGTCGACAGCTGCATGCAGGGATCCCCACCTGAACAACTGTGTCAAAGCTGTGTTCAGAGCATCCCTTCCCAGTGGCTTGTGCTGCAAGTCCCCCACCCCACTCAAAGAACAGGCCACAGAAATTCCTATTTCTGTCAGAAGTAGCTCCTCACCCGGGCCATCTTGCCAAGACCTAGCAGTGCAGTTCCTCACACTCTTACTGCACTTGACAGCAGGACAACAGCCAGGAGTTGGGCGGGAAGGGGTTCTGGGGCCATCTTGAACCAGCTGTGGTTCCAGGTTACCTGGGTGAAGTGGATGGACTCCTCAGCAACATTCACCATGATGCCAGACACCAACTATTGCAACATCATCGTGCCCACCATGGACACTGTGCAGATGTCCTACCTGCTGGGCATGCTGCTCACCAACCACAAGCCCGTGAGTCCTCATACCACACCCTTTGGTGGGTGGCTAGCTTCCCACACTGATGAGGCAGCAGCTCCCTCTGTGTGCTTGTCCTCTGTGTGCCCCACCTGCCCAATCCCGCGTCTCAGGTGTTGTGTATTGGGCCGACGGGCACGGGGAAAACCATCACTGTCTCTGACAAACTCCTCAAGAACCTGCCACTGGAGTACATCAGCCACTTCCTCACCTTCTCTGCACACACATCAGCCAACCAGACCCAGGACCTCATCGACAGCAAGCTGGACAAGAGGCAGGGCACCCCTTGATTCTTGCTCAATCCCAGTCCCCCAGCCTGGCTAAAACGGCTGCTGCCTCACCTCCTCACCAAATTATGATCTTGGGTTTGCCAGAAGCCTCCCCAGGGTGGGGGGAGCTGGAAGTTCCTCAAGGAGCCCTGGGTTCCCTCCCAGACTGCTCCAGAGCCCCCTCTATCAATATTCCACCAGACACCGATAACTCATGTCTGTAATCCTTGCTCTCAGGAGGTAGAGATCAGGAGGATCGAAGCCAGGCCGGGCAAATAGTTCACGAGACCCTATCTCGAAAAAAACCATCACAAAAAAGGGCTGGTGGAGTGGCTCAAGGTGTAGGCCCTGAGTTCAAACCTCAGTACCGCAAAAAAAAAAAATTCCTCCAGAGCCTTTCAATGGGGTCTTAGTCCTGGGATGGGCACTTGGGCTGAGCTGTGAGTCTGTCTTGGAGATGCCTATTATCTACCTGCCTGGGAGGCAAGACTCTAAGAGAGGCAGGTCAGCTAGTCCCTGACATCCCAGAACACTCAGAACAAGACAGAGGGCTGGTCACAAAGTAGCAATTTGGGGGAGGCTCGTTTTTAGTAACGTACCATCCTGCTGCCCTGGATTCTTAGAGGACCTGGTGTCCATGGGTGCTAGGCTCACACAGCCCCTCCAACAGGCGGAAGGGTGTGTTCGGGCCACCCTTGGGGCGCAACTTCATCTTCTTCATTGATGACCTGAATATGCCAGCCCTGGAGACATACGGCGCACAGCCGCCCATTGAGCTGTTGCGCCAGTGGATGGACCATGGTGGCTGGTATGACCATAAGATCATTGGTGCGTGCCAGCCTGGGCCAGTAGGGTGTGGGGCCTGTGTGCTGGGCAGGGGTACCTTCATTCCTACAAGATCCTGCAATACTTTTAGGGGTCAACAAAAAATGTTTTTATTCTCTTAAGATTGGGAAAATGAACTTTTAGTCAAAGGAAAACTTTAATGTCTGTGAACACATTTGTCAATACTGTTGTAAATTATAATTTTAATATATATTATTTTCATGGGGAAGGAGACCCACAAAAATCGTAATTCAGTTCTGGGAAGGAACTGATCTCCTGCCCTCACTCAGGAGCCTTCAAGAACCTGGTGGACATCAACTTTGTCTGTGCCATGGGCCCCCCGGGGGGAGGCAGAAATTCCATCACCCCAAGGCTGACACGTCACTTTAACTACTTGTCCTTCACCGAGATGGATGAGGTCAGCAAGAAACGCATCTTCTCCACCATCCTGGGATGCTGGATGGGTGAGTATCAGGAGAGGGCAAGAGAGGCCATGGGCAAAGGCAGGAGCCCAGGCCAGGTGCCACACGAAGGACAGCTGGGGAGCCACTCACCAACTGTAACCCCAGCTTCACCCCATACTCATCTGTTACCTTTGGCAAGCTCATGAGCCTCTCTAAACTCCAGTTTCTTCATCTGTAAAATGGGTGATAATATATTAGTACTATCGCTCCAAGTTATAAGAGTAAGACATGGCACACAGAGTATCTAGAATGAAACCTGGTACAGGGTGATTGCTGCGCGTGTGTGCGCGTGTGCATGCATGCTTATGCCTTCACCCACATATATACACGCATACACGTGTGTATGTGTTAGGGTTTGCCCAGAAACTCAAGTGGAAGGGTATTACTTTTATAAATCAGGAAAAGCCACCAAGACAGACTAGATAAGGTCCACCCCCTGATGCTCTTTCCCCACCAGCCCACTTCTCACACACTGACCATGGAACACGACTTGGCACTGTGTCAGGTGGTGAGTAATGGAAGTTAGGTATTCCCTCCTCTGACCTGGCCACACTGCCCCCAAGGGTATGGGCCAGGACTTTCCTGCATATCCAGATTGGGGTGAGGGGCATGTTGCTCTGAGGTGCAGCGGGAGTAGCGAGTGGCTGCTTTAAGAGCATCCCAGCTGGGAACAGTGGAGAAAGCAGGCAGCAAGATAGCCTATCGAACTGAGGCCTGTATATCTCCCTCAACCCTCCAGATGGACTCCTTGGAGAAAGAAGTTATCGAGAGCCTGTGCGTAAGTGTGGCCAGGGCAGGGGCCCAGGAGGGCGGGGCCTGGAAGGGAGGGGGCTCTGAGTCTGGCCAAATGTGCTAAGGCTAGGACTTGAGGCCATGGTGGACCCTCCTTGGGCTCATGCGAGGGCCAGGACAAAGGTTGGCAACCAGTACAGACTGCCCCCCTAGTCTCCTGCACCCATTGGTATTGCAAGTCAGTTCCTCAGTGCCTGGGTTAGTGTCTGATTGACAGTAGATGCTCAGGAAACGCAAGATGAGTGGATGAAAGAAGGAACCCAACAAACTCCACCCTATGTGAAAAGCCACAGCCACAACTCAAAGGAGAGCCAGCCTTTTCCAGGGAGGAGGCATGAGCAAGAGAGCCAGGGGTGATGTGTAGCTGGGGAGCAGGCATCCCTTGTGTGGCAGCTTCATTCACCTCCCATGTCTTGGTCATCAACACATGGTGGCCAGACACTTCAGACTCTGTCTTCTCCTTGTGCTCCCCTCTCCTCCTCTCAACTTAAAGAGGCCATCAGGCTTCCTCCATAGGACTCTATACCCACCTGCTTACTTGTGTCTGGCCTTCCTCATGGGCCCATCTTCTTGCCTCGACTAGATGTGGACTTTCCACTCCAGCACAGGCTCCTCTTGGCCCAGCTAAAGGATGTGATCCATGCCTTCCCCAACACCAGTACTCCCTGTTCTACTGGAGCACTTCAACAGCATACAAACAAGTCCCAGTTTCTCCCATATTATTCCAAACACAAAATTACCTCCTACGCTCAGCCAATCCCCTTCCTACACCCTAGGTCATCACCCCACTTCTCTGCTCACCCTGATGGAAAACTCAAAAACTCTTCCTGTTGGCACCAACGTCCTCTCCCACTTTCCCTTGAGCTGTCCCCACATCCCCTGAGAATGCTCTGTTCTTGGTCCTCATCTGTCCCACAGGTAGCCGCTCCTTCTCATCTTCTCCCAGGCCTTCCTTCCTCTCTGGCAACCCTTCTTGGACTGACTGGAGTTTAACCTTTCCCCTCCTCTCCCTCTAACCACACTTTCCTCTGGCAATCTCAACCTGCATCTGGTGATAAAAGCCATCTTTATGCTACTGACACCCAAGTCCCCTCCTCAGCCAGGCCTCTCAAAAGCCTGACTCTACATCTCTCAGTGTCCACTGAGCATCTAGACTGACCCTGCCCAAATCCAGATTTCTGGATGCCCCTCCCAGTCCTCTTCTCATTTCAGGTGATGGTATCTCTGTCCTTCTAGGTGCTCACAACAGAGCTTTGACATCATCCTCGACCCCTCTCTTCTTCTCATGCCTCTTCTCATGCCTCACCTCATCTGCCATATCTGTTGGCTTTCCCTGCAGAATCCATCCCAAATTGGCTGCTCACCTTCTCAGCCTCACTCACCTGACCATTGTAGCACCTTCCCTGGTCTCCTTGTTTCTGCCTTCACCTGTCAAGACTCCACCTTCCACTTGCCTCCAGAGGGACCCATTAAAACATTAAATCAAGCCAAGTGCAGTGGCTCACACTTGTAATACTAGCTATTTGGGAGGCTGAGATTAGGAGAATTGCAGTTGAGGGCTAGCCTGAGCAAACAGTTTGTGAGACCTCATCTCCAAAATGGTGACACAAGCCTGTAGTCTCAACTATTCAGGAGGCTGAGGTGGGAGGATTGCTTGAACCCAGGAATTCAAGACCAGCCTGGGCAATATAGTGAGACCGTGTCAAAAAAAATCACAAAAGCAAGCCAGGTACCCATGGCTCATGCCTATAATCCTAGCTAATTCGGAAGCTGAGAGCCAGAGGACCATGGTTTGAGGCCTGCCTATGCAAAAAGTAAGTAGTAAGACCCCTCCCCATCTCAACCAATAGGTGGGCACAGTAGTACATGCCTTTCATCTCAGCTTCATAGGAAGCAGAAATAGGGAAGATTACAGTTCCAGACCAGCCCAGATAAAAAAAAAAAGTTTGTGAGACCCCATCTCAACAACAAAAAAAGACTGGTGTGGTGGTGCTCACCTATCATCCTATCCCAGCTACAGAGGAGAGCATAAATTAGGAGGGTTGTGGTCCAGGCTAGCCTGGGAAAAAAGCAAGATCTTTTTTTTTTTTTTTTTTGTATGTGGGACCAGGGTTTGAATTCAGGGATTCATGCTTTGAAAAACAGGCACTCAAAAAAAAAAAAAGAAAAGAAAAGAAAAACACGCACTCTACTGCTTAAGCCACACCTCCAGTCCAAAAAGTAAGATCTTGTCTCCAAAATAACAAAGAAAAAGAGGCTGGAGATATGACTCAAGCACTAGAGCACCTGCCTAGCAAGCAAGAAGCCTGAGTTCAAACCCCAGTACCACCACCAAAAAAAAAAAAAAACCACAAAAACATTAAATGAGACCACGCTCCTCCTCTGTTCAACTGTCTCATCCAAACAAGAGCCCAAATCCCGACAGGACAGTAGTAGGCAAAGCTGTCCTTAACTCGTGCCCCTCAATACTCCTCTGGTCTCATCTCCTATTCAGCCAGCCCCTCCTCCCTGGCCATTAACTTCTCAGGCATGCTCCCACCTCCAGGTCTCTGCCCTTGCCGTGCCCTCTGCCTGGAACACTTTTTGTTCCAGCTATGTGCATGCTTGCATTTCACTTCTGTGGTTTTGGCTTCAATGTCCCCTTTCCCAATGAAGCATTCCCTAGTATTTCTAGAACCACCCTCTTCCTAAAGCCCAACCCTGTTGTTCCTCAAACCTCTCCTGCTGCAAATCTCTATGTAGCGCTTGTCACCTTGTCACTGTCTTCTTTACTTGTTGACCTGTTCACTGTCTCCAAGACAAGAATGTCAGCTTGTTGAGGGTGAAGAGCGTCTATTTGAGTCACCCTCTATATGCCTGGCACCTATAACAGTGCCTGTGTTTATAGACAGGACCCTCTCCTTCCCCTTCTGTCCTTTTCCTACTGCTAAGTGCTCCCTATATCCCAAATTCCCACTGCAGAATTTTGGTTCACAGCAAAGAATAAGGTTGTTTTCAAAGAACAAGGCAACGGGGACATTAGTGGTAAACACAGGCTGGAGGTTGCAGCAGCTCCCTGGGGGGGTGGCAAGCCCCAAAGGTCCACCTGGACCTAAGCTCCCACAGAAGCCTACATGGACCAAGTGTGGCCCAGAGCTGGCATGTTCAGTACAAGTTGGTAGTGTAAGGCAGTAAGGGCCTGCCCAGCACTGAGCCTGTTGGTGCCAACTATTCTGTGAGTGCATCTCAGTTTCCCAAGGCATGGCAGGCTGTCAGAAATGAGGACACCAAAGGGAGGCACTCAGAACAGGAGATTCCCACTCTGAGGCATCTCAGATGGGGCTAAGGGGTGAGTGGAATTCAAGCCTGAAGGTGGGGCAGGGAGCTGTGGGGAATTCAGCACAGCAAAGGCACAGACCTTAGGATCTGCAAAGGCTGCGCTGGGAGCTCCCACCTGGGTGACCTAAGCCACTCTCCTGTCCCCACAGCTGGAGCCCCCAACATTGCCCACCTCACAGAGCCTCTTGTGGAAGCCACCATCATGGTGTATGCCACTGTCACCTCCCAGCTACTGCCCACTCCAGCCAAGTCCCACTATACCTTCAACCTGAGGGACCTCTCCAAGGTCTTCCAGGGCATGCTTATGGCCGACCCAGCCAACGTTGAGGTGAGGCTCCAGCAGGTCCTTCCCCAATGCCCATGCTACCCTTGCTGTCCTCCCTAGGCCCCCCAATTTTAGATCTTCCTGCCTAAACACTTTCCAGCCCTGGTCCACCCAGACTCTAAGGAGACTGGGACATGCAGGTGTCAGGCCCTCAAGAGTCTGGCCTATCTTGTGGATCAAACCCATGCCAGGAATGGTGGCCATGAAGGGGGTCACACAAAAGAGGGAACCAGGGCAAGGTTAGGGAGTAAGAGGGCTTCTGCTACAGACCTTCTATGTGAGAAGAACTCTTAAGGTGTTTGTGATGGTGGGGAGTGAACAAGGTACCTTTGAGAGCCAGCCAGACAGAAGAATCAGTAAGCAGAGCGGGAAATGGAGCCAGACTTGCAGGCTGTGGGGAGCTTGACTTTCATCCTAAGGATGATAGGGAGCCATGTTGAGCCACTGTCTGGACAACCAATATGTGTGTGGCCAGAGCCTGGGGAGATGGGGGAAGACAGGACACAAGCCAGCCCTGGCCTTACCCAGCTCTTAGCCAAGGACTGGCAAGAAGAACCTGGGGCTTCTCAAGGATAGTCCAGTTATCCTAGGAGACACATGGAAGCTGGGGAAGAGGAGGCAGCAGAGATAGAGAGAGGGTCAGCTCCTGAGGAAATTGGTGGGGTTCCATGCTTGCTAGATGTGGGGTATCAGGAAGATGAAAGGAGAACCAGGTCTAGGCTTGGAGTTTCAAGAACTGAAAGAGAGGGAAGCGGTAACTTTGAAGCACTCATGACCAGCTAGTGGAGCTGAGTGCCCAGCCAGTGCTAGAGCTGAGGATGGAAAGGTCTTGCCACACTATGCAATTCACTTAGTCCTCAGCTGGCCAGTAGACATACCTCCCAGCAGCCTCTGCACAAGGCCCTAGCTGGCTCGTAAGGGGAGTCTGGCCCAGAAGCTGTGGCTCCTACTTCCGACCTCTTCCTGGTGCTTTGAGAGATGGCTGAGGGGCTGGAGCCAAGGGGTGGTACTGATGCTGGGTGTCCACAGGACAAGGTGCAGCTGCTGCGACTGTGGTATCATGAGAACTGCCGCGTGTTCCGTGACCGACTGGTGAATGAGGAGGACCGTCACTGGTTTGACCAACTCCTCGAGAAACACATGGAGCAGTGGGAGGTGGCCTTCAATGATGTCTGCCCCTTCCAGCCCATTCTTTATGGGGACTTCATGTCGCCAGGCTCAGATGTGAAGTCCTATGAGCTTATCGTCAGTGAGAGTAAGGTGAGGGGGTCTAGGCTGGTGCCTTTCCCCTGGTGGGTCCTCTTCAGTCTGACCCCTAGGACCCAAGTCATTTGTAATCACCACTAACAGACCACCATACCAGACCAGAAGGTTAGGAAAATGAGGCAAGCTCTTGGCCTGGCTGAGTCCCTGTTTCCCCCCACCTGTCGCATGGCACAGCTGAGAGGTCCTGCTCAACCTGTCTCTGAAAACAAACCTGGGGTTCATCTAGACAGGCCCTGCAAACAGTGACACACCATTCCCACTCACAGAGGAGCAGTAGGAGCTCTGAGGCCACAGCTCTCAGTCAAGACCCCCGTGGGGAAGGGTTGAGGCCCATCAGTGGCCCCAGAGCTGCATGAGTGCAGTGGACCTTCAGATGAGTTTTTTCCCACATGCATCCTCTCCTAGTTCCCAGATGCTTCCTCCAGAGACCCAGGGTCAGTACATACTGGTGAGCCCCAGAAAGGGAAGGTGGGACTCGGGCCTGGGTGTGTCCCATGGGTCAGGCCTCTTTCAGGCAGACCTGGCTTCTTAAAGCCAGCATCCACCCATGCATGGGAGGAGCAGGGCTGGCTGCAGGAGGGTGTGAGCTCCCTGTCAGGGAGGGCCTTGGTGCATAGGGTTCCAACCAGTCAGACCCATGGCTGGAGACACCACAAAAGTGGTGGCAGGAGGATTCCTACAAGGGACTGCTCCAAACCGCCCGAAGATGGAGCTGATTGGGATTCCTAAGAAAGAAGCACTAGAGTGCAGAGTGATCAGTCTGAAGCATTTATCAAGAGACTTCACATACAGAGGGGGCTACAGCTTCCTCGTGATACACAGAGAGACAAGATGTTCTGTGGGTCCACGATAACAGGGTGGGTGACAGAGTTTATACGAGAGTTTAGGGAAATTGGCTGAGGTAGAGTTAGTCTGGGTTCAAGTCTGAAAATGCAGCTGCCAGATCACAGAGTAGTCAGTCACTCTGTGTTTCTCAGTGGGGCCAGAGAAAAGTGGGAGGGAACTAGGAGGCCCTACAGTGAAGGAGAACCAGCCCACCACGCCCTCCACCCTGCTCACAGATGATGAATGTGATCGAGGAGTACATGGAGGACTACAACCAGATCAACACAGCCAAGCTGACGTTGGTCCTCTTCATGGATGCCATGAGCCACATCTGCCGCATCAGCCGCACTCTGCGCCAGGCTCTGGGCAATGCACTCCTGCTAGGCGTGGGTGGCAGTGGCCGCAGCTCCCTCACCCTGCTCGCCTCACATATGTAAGGGCCTCCAGGCATGGTGGGCAGTGGGCAGCTGGTAAACATACGTCAGTTGGATTGATGCTTTTCCACATTGGTGGAAGCCCCAGGGTACACCTGAGGCAGATCCACCCAGTCCATGGGCTTCTAGAAGGACTGAGAATGGGACCTGGACCAGAAGCAGTAGCAGTGCTCCATGGGGATGTGGAGATGGAGATGTAGATAACAGGCATCCCAGAGAGCTTCCTGGGGAAGATGTCCATCAGCCTGCTCTCAGAATCAGAGCTGGGAGGATAGAAGGGAAGGGTATTACAGGCTGAGGGAACAGCTTGAGCTAAGGTCTGGAGGCAAGAGAGCAGGTTCAGGACCTGCAGAATGTGCAGGTACCCACCACTGTCAGTGCCTGATCCTAGGACCCTATTAGGCCTTGACCCAAACTCCTGCCTCCAGGGCCGAGTATGAGTGCTTCCAGATTGAGCTGTCCAAGAACTACGGCATGGCTGAGTGGCGTGAAGATGTCAAGAAGGTCCTGCTTAAGGCCGGCCTGCAGAACCTCCCCATCACCTTCCTGTTCTCGGATACCCAGGTGCCACTGCCACAGCAGTAGGCAGGACTCAGGGTGGGCTGAATATAACAGTGTCCTAGTATGGCATCCTGGAAGGTAGTCAGTCCTTCATGCCCAACTCACTATCAGTGATAGCAGATCTGAGGAGGAACCAGCAGGACCAGGTGGGGCCATAGATGGTCTGGTTGGGAGTGCAGGGTCAAACCCAACCCCTCAGAACTGGGGTAGGAGGGGGCCTAGATCATACTCACACTTCAAGCGTAAAGAAGACTCCCAGTACCATGGCACACTGCTCACTGCCAAACAGCTTCCCACCAGAGGGTTTGTGCCCAAAGTATGGGGAACCCATAGCTCCCGTCTGGGGGGCTGCTCCCTCTGGGACTTCCTGGGCCTAAGGCCTCTCCCCAGGTCGCTGGGTGAAGGAGAGGCCATAAGACAAATAATGCAGTCATAATGAAGGCTGTTCTCCTACCCCTCATCCTTCTCCAGATCAAGAATGAGTCCTTCCTGGAGGACATCAACAATGTCCTGAACTCGGGTGACATTCCCAACCTCTACAATGCTGAAGAGCAGGACCTAATTGTCAATACCATGCGGCCCTACATCCAGGAGCAGGGCCTGCAGCCCACCAAGGCCAACCTCATGGCTGCCTACACTGGGCGTGTGCGCAGTAACATCCATATGGTACTGTGTATGAGGTACAGCCAGCTGTCACCAGGCCACACAGTAAGGTTGGGGTGGTGGGGCCAGCCCCAGAGATGCTAGAGGCCTGGGAACTTGGGCCTAGATGAGAGGTCATCTGGGCCTGGTCACCATGCCATTAGGGCCAGGCTGCTGTGCAGTTGTACCCTGGCTGCCATGCCACAGGGCTATAGAAGGGCCTTGGGTCCTGGGAGCCTAAGTCAGTGTCTCCTGGCCTCATTTGGATCCCTGGACCCCTAGCCCCATTGGAGAAGTCTTCCGAGCTCGTCTGAGGCAGTTTCCCTCCCTTGTCAACTGCTGTACCATTGACTGGTTTAACGAGTGGCCAGCAGAGGCCCTGGAGTCTGTGGCCACCAGATTCCTGAATGAGATCCCAGAACTGGAATGTTCCTCAGAAATAATTGAAGGACTGGTAGGTGTCTTGGTGAGAAGGAAGCTCTCGGAAAACTGTTTCATTTTTGGGTGTGGGCTGGGGGTTCCTGAGGCCTAAGAGTACTGGGACAGCCACCTTTGGTAAGCCTTTGGTCAGACAGCTTTACCTGTTTAAGCCTCAGTTTCCTCACCTGTAAAATGGGGAGTGCCACAGGTCATATGGTGACGGGATGCTTGGCATATAGCTAAATGATCACTGTCTCCCTTATCGCCTGAGGGTATAACAGCAGCTTTCTTCCAAAAGTCCGCTGACACAATTCCAGAGATCACAGAGGGTATGGGATAGATTTGTCTGGTCCAATCTCAGAGATCCATCCTCTGAGGGGCTCAGCATCTTAGAACTCTCAGAGACAAATAGGTCATGGGGGCTGTGACAAGGACCCCAGCTAGGAGGCATCTGAGTCCACATTCGAAGCCAGCCCCAGGTTTTTTCATCTGCATAAGAGATGACCTTAACCTATTATTGGTTGTGAGGCTCTTAGGAAAGTATAAGCATGAGATATGGAGGTTCCTGCTGTGGCTGCCTCCTTGGCACCAGGCTTCAGTGGCTTTGTGGGCCCCATGTACCCCATTTTTTCCCCACTAGAACAACATCAATGGTTTCCCCCTCACAGATTCAGGTTTGTGTGTACATCCACCAGTCAGTATCTAAGAAGTGCATTGAGTACCTGGCAGAGCTAGCCCGCCACAACTATGTGACCCCCAAGAGCTATTTGGAGCTGCTCCGTATTTTCTCCATCCTCTTTGGGCAGAAGAAACTGGAGCTGAAAACTGCCAAAAACCGAATGAAGAGTGGCCTAGACAAGGTGGGTTTGAAGGCCTGTGGACATTGGCTAGCTATGGTTCTGCCTGCTGGGTGTTAGTCCTGAGGCAAGGGTGATCTGGCATCTCAAACTGCAGACCACAGTGTTGAAACAGGCTCGTCTTCAGAATAAAAGTCATCAGCCAAGGACAAGGCTAAAGCAGGTTCTTAGGGTACTCAGCCTCTTTCTCAGGGTTCACTCAACAACCTGGGAGTCATGAATGAGGTGGCGCAGCAGGGCCCTCTCCTTATTACACTGCATACCTGGCCTCTCTCTGGTCCCTGTCACACCTCTTTTACTTTCTGTACCTGCGCCCACCCCCAGCTGCTGCGCACTTCTGAAGACGTGGCCAAGATGCAGGAGGAGCTAGAGATTATGCGCCCCCTGCTGGAGGAGGCTGCCAAGGACACCATACTCACTATGGAGCAGATCAAGGTGGGTGTGCTCTTGGAACCCTCTCCGGGATGCCTGACCCTGCCTAAGGATGCTCAGCATCTCTAAACAATCACCGGATCATTAGCTCCTGACCCTAGCAAGTCACTTAGCCTTTGTATACCTCAGTTTCCTCGTTCACAGTCATTCGTTTGACAGATGCTCAGTCAGAGCTATTTTGTGCTAGGCACTCCCTAGGCAGACAATTGGTCAACAGCAGGGCAGATCCTTCCTCTGGACAACACTAATAATCACAATCAGACAGAATGGCAGGGCTGCCACAGGCAGACACACAGATTCTGCACAGCACTAGTGCTCACATTTGAGGGCCTTATTCTCCAGCAGGCATCACAGACTTGTACAAGACTTGTACAGACTTGTATGACAGCTTTCTGGCAGCAGCACAAAATCAGGGTGCTGCAAAATGATCCAGGAAGAAAGGGGGAGGAGTACCTTTCTCTGTTGTGCATGAAGAGCCCTGTGAGCTTGGGGTCCCTTCCCCTGTGGGGCAGGCAAGTTCAAACCTGGAAAGTCTTGAACCTCATGATGAACATTCAGGATGTGGAAGGGGCTCCTGACCTTCCCAGATCTCTATCAGCCATTTGTGGACGGGCCCTTGGAGAATGGGACATCCCAATCCTCATCTCCTTCTTTCTGGGGAGATGGAGATGCAAAGGGAAAGAAGGGGAAAGGGCATGCCTATCCCTGCCACCGGCCACCATTGGAGCTCTTCCTGTCCCCCATTCCCAGGTGGATACAGCCATTGCTGAGGAGACCCGAAATTCAGTCCAGGCAGAGGAGATAAAGGCCAATGAGAAGGCCAGTAAGGCACAAGCTATTGCTGATGATGCTCAGAAGGATCTGGATGAGGCATTGCCAGCCCTGGACGCGGCCCTGGCCAGCCTCCGCAACCTCAACAAGAATGACGTGACTGAGGTGGGCATCTGGGCATCTCCAGGCACTCACTCTCATCTCTCTCTCTGGTGTCCACTTGGGTCCTGGTGGTATCCCCAGACTCTTCTTCTGCACATCCCCTGGGGGCTATGTGCCAAACGGTGAGAGCAGAACTAGATCTAGACCCTCACTGCCTGCCCCACCCTCTTGTGCCAGCACCCAAGGAGCCACAGGCTGAAGCTGACCTCAGAAATTCTCTGGGTATGCCTTTGGTACTGTGGCAGTAGTGACTTGGGTGGTGAGGCCCTCCCTGTCTATCAGTGTCCCTGCCCAGGGTAATCACTCAGTAAAGGACCTTCCCCTTCACCTTGTGACTCCATCTACAGGTGCGCGCCATGCAGCGGCCACCCCCAGGTGTGAAGCTGGTCATAGAAGCTATGTGCATCATGAAAGGCATCAAGCCCAAGAAGGTTCCTGGAGAGAAGCCAGGCTCTAAAGTGGACGACTACTGGGAGCCAGGCAAAGGGCTGCTACAGGACCCTGGTCGCTTCCTTGAGGGCCTCTTCAAGTTTGACAAAGTGAGCGTGCCAGGCACCTGGGCCAGCCAGTATGTGAGAACAGGACCCAATAGGGCAGGGAAGCTGGAGAGGAGTCTGCCCCATCAGAGTCTGCCATGCTATGGTCTCTGTCCTCTCTCTCTCTGTCTGCCCCAACCCCACCAGCAGCACACCCAGCCCAGTGAGCCACATAGCTGACTGGGACCATGGACCATACAGCCGGCCCCAACAGCTGTCTGGTGGGGTGACAAGCAGACCTGCCAGCAGATGGGTATTAAGGAAGTTGGGACTGGGAAAGGCTCCTATGCCCATTAGATGTCACCCACAGTCACTCTAAGGTTTCACAAGATTCTCTTTCCTGCACTGTCCTCCCTGGACCCCATGGCATTGTCCAAGACATCACCACCTGCTCTATGTCCTTGGCCTCAGCACCTAAGATTCAGTTTCCCATGTATCTCTGGGGATTTGTCTGTATGTCCATCTGGGTTCTCAGTGTCTGTGGGTATGTACCTCTCAGGGGCTGTGCCCATGGTAAGGTGACCCAGGGCCCACAGTCCCTTCACAAATCCCCTCTCCAGCTCAGAAATTGGCCAAGAGGCAGCTGCCTTCCTGCATGGACCACCCCCTGCCACCAGTGTCCGTGTCAGGAACTGGACACCTCACACAATGAAATGGTAGAGTGGAGACAGAGGCCTGGCTCGGCAGCATCAGGCAGGAAACCAGAGGCTCTCAGGACTAATGAAACACCTGGGAGAAGCACCCAAGCCAGGCATGTGCCTGGCCAGTTCTCAGGCTCCCGAGTCCACCCAAACTCTGACCTTGGGAGCTTGTTAGCAATTTAGTTCCTGGGTTCATCACAAACAGTAGAGTTGGACTCTCCCCAAGGATGAGAGCCCCAGGTGTGGTAGGCTCTCTGGAGCACCAGAAGCACTTTTCTCCCCACCTGCTGAGGCTCTTGTTCTTAGGCACCAGCCTGTGCCTTTAAATGAGTGGTTGTTTCAATTTCTGTGTTTTCTTTGGTGGTACTGGAGTTTGAACTCAGACCTCATGCTTGCTAGGTAGATGTTCTTCCACTTAAGACACGCCCCCAGCCCTTTAAATGAGTTTTTATTTTTTTATTTTTTTTTACACTTAATAATCATCTTTATTGAGGAAAAGGTTACATTAAATGAGAGAAGGACCATCTAGGAAAATTAAGATAAATGAGTTTTTAAACAGAGCCTTGTGTATTGTTAGATCTTGAGGCTTCTGAGGAATGTATATGAGATCCTGGGGACACAGAAGCTCCTTATCTAGTACACAGCACATGCTCACAGACACTGAGACCCCCAGATGGACAGACAGTGAAACTCAGAGATACACAGAAGTTCCTTTCTTGGCTGTGTTTGCTGTTTAAGGATACTGTACTATGGTCTACACAGGGCTTGGGTCATTAAAGTGGGATCCAGGTATTCTTCAGAGGTCCCACCTCCCAGCAGAGCCCCTCCCCTGGGCCCCCATGGGAAGCATCCTACTGAAGCCCATGGTTCCCACTCCAGGACAACATTGCGGAGGCGGTGATTAAAGCCATCCAGCCATACATTGACAATGAGGAGTTCCAGCCAGCTGCCATTGCCAAAGTGTCCAAGGCCTGCACTTCTATCTGCCAGTGGGTGCGTGCCATGCACAAGTACCACTTTGTGGCCAAGGCAGTGGAGCCCAAGCGGGTGAGGATAGGGTAAAGCTGGTGGGGGCTGGCTCCCCTCCCCAGGTTCTTGCAGCAAGCTGGCACTGGCCTCCCTCTGCATGCAGCAAGCCCTGCAGGAGGCCCAGGACGACTTGGAGGTGACCCAGAAGATCCTGGAGGAAGCAAAGCAGCGCCTGCGTGAGGTGGAGGATGGCATTGCCACGTTGCAGGCCAAGTACCGAGAATGTGTCGCCAAGAAAGAGGAGCTGGAACTGAAATGTGAGCAGTGCGAGCAGCGGCTGGGCCGTGCTGACAAGGTGCGCTCCCCTCCTCCATGAGGCCCATGGGTGTGCCCACCTGACAGGGGTCCAAAGGGCCTGGGGTGGAGGGTTCCACACCCCCTCCTTAGTAGCATCCAGACCTGTAGTGGGCAGAGCCAGCCCTAGCCCTCAAGCTAGTCTTCCAGAGCCCATTCTATGGGGCTACCTCTGCAGCTCATCAATGGACTGTCAGATGAGAGGGTGCGCTGGCAGGAGACAGTAGAGAACCTGGAGCACATGCTTGACAACATCTCTGGTGACATCCTGCTAGCCTCCGGCTTTGTGGCCTACCTAGGACCCTTCACGGTAAGGAGCTCCCATTCTGCCTTTGATGAGTCTCATCTTCAAAAGAGGCCCTTCCCCTATGAGGGCAGCCCACAGGGTGTTCTTTCCTCCATCCCCCCATCATTCCGCAAGCACTCTTCAGGCCCTCACTGAGCCAAGTGTGGGAAGGCATCTGGCACCCAGCAGTGCCCAGAATAGCCAGAAGAGCTGCCCTGGACAGATGGCCTTCTACTGGGAATATACGAGAGCTCACACATGTGCACCTGTGTGTCAGGCACTGTTCTAAATGTTTCATCCTGTGTCCCATTTAATCCTCACAACTGTTCTCCAGAAGGGCACTGTTAGCATTACTCATTTCACAGATGAGGGGCTGAGGTTTGTAGAGTCCAAGCAGGTCACCTGAAATGGGACTCAAATGCAAGCATCTAGCTCCAATTCTGATTTGTGACTTCTGTGTGTAACCACCAAGCTGTAGTGTAATGGGAGATGGGAAGGGTGCTGCATTGTCTCATGTGGTGGTCTTGAGTCTGGCATCTCCTCAGGGCCAGTATCGCACAGCACTCTATGACCAGTGGGTCAAGCAGCTCACAACTCACCAAGTTCCTCACTCCTCTGAGCCCACGCTAATTGGGACACTGGGGAATCCTGTGAAGATCCGCTCATGGCAGGTACCCACCCTGGGGACAGCAATGACCAGGCCGGACCCAAAGACTCCCACCTCAATCCTACCCTCTTTTCTGCCTGTCTCAGAGATGCCTCCCCTGAACCCAGCAAAAGGGTGCTGGGTAGGAAAGAAGGCAACAGATGGGCCAAGTGTGACATAGATGCTAGCTAAATGTGAGGAGAAGGCATAAGGAGTACTTTTAAGATTATAGGGTGGGGGTTACGAAAGGTTTTCTAAAAGAAATCATGTCTGAACTAGACCCTGAAAGGGCAAGTTGGCAAAGGGAAAGAACAGAGGCTGTGGGCAGAGGCCAAGCATGGGCAAAGGCCAGGAGGGCCAATGGGGTGTGGGCTCCATGAAGGTAGTGTCATTGAGCAAGGAGTCAGTAGGCATGAGGACAGACAGACCCACTAAAGGAGCCAGCCCAGGAGCAGTAGAGAGGCAAGGATCCTGGGAAATGCATCCTTACCCACACTGTCACCTGCCCACCACATCCAAAATGTGCAATAAAGGAAGTCTACAGCCAAAGCATGAGGTTGGGAGTAGCTCATGTCCCAGGCAGACTTGCTCATACAGAAAACCCTGACCCAGCTGACACCTGGCCTCCCACAGATTGCTGGCCTCCCCAATGACACTTTGTCAGTGGAGAATGGGGTCATCAACCAGTACTCCCAGCGTTGGACCCACTTCATTGACCCTCAAAGCCAGGCCAACAAGTGGATCAAGAACATGGTAAGCCCATTCACACTGATGTTGCCTCCTATCCCAGCCAGGCCCAGCAGGTATGGGGGAGTAACTGAGTCTCTTGCTGGTTTTTGGCCTCCGCAGTCCCCACCTACCCCCTGTCCCCACAGGAGAAGGACAACGGACTGGATGTGTTCAAACTGAGTGACTGCGACTTCCTGCGCAGCATGGAGAATGCCATCCGCTTTGGCAAGCCATGCCTTCTGGAGAATGTGGGCGAGGAGTTGGACCCAGCCCTGGAGCCTGTGCTGCTCAAGCAGGTGGGCCTATGTGGGGAGGGACTCTGTGGGCTAGAAGCCTGGATAGGAATCTGTTCATGCCATCCTGTGGCCACCCTGAAGCTCAGGCCACAGTACCTGCCCATCCCACCCACTACAGACATACAAGCAACAGGGGAACACGGTGCTAAAGCTGGGGGACACGGTGATTCCCTACCATGAGGACTTCAGGATGTACATAACCACCAAGCTGCCCAACCCACACTACACTCCCGAGATCTCCACCAAACTCACCCTCATCAACTTCACCCTGTCACCCAGGTAAGACCCAACCCTGGGAACCCCAAGCATCAGCTCTTCCTCCAGGCTGGGACTCAGTCTTTGCCCACTCAATGGCTCTGTCCGCGTCCTCCCAGGCTTTCTAGTCCCTCTGCAAGCTCCTCTACCTGCCTCCACTTCCACCTAAGAACCCTCACCCCAAAGGCCTACTCCATGCCAAGCCTTCCACTTTAGTGACCACTACGAACCTCTCCACAAGTCAGGAGGTGAAAGCACCTGCTAAGGAAGATCAGGGATCCCAGCCTCTGACTGGCCAGTCTCCACTGGGCTCCAGGCTACCATTCAAGGTACTTTGAAGGTAGGCTCTGCACAGCTCTGCAGCCTGAGATAGAGGCCAGGTCTTCAGGCTGACACTGGTAAGGATGCCAGGCTCTTGCAGTTCTAGAGAACAGGCAGATAAGTGAACAGACTCAAAACTGGTCCTCTGGCGCTCACCAGGTGTTACAAACATGGTTTCACCTGTCCCTGGCAGTGGCCTAGAGGACCAGCTACTGGGCCAGGTAGTGGCTGAGGAGCGACCTGATCTAGAAGAGGCCAAGAACCAACTGATCATTAGTAATGCCAAAATGCGTCAGGAGCTGAAGGATATTGAAGACCAGATCCTCTACCGGCTCAGCAGCTCTGAGGGCAACCCTGTGGATGACATGGAGCTCATCAAGGTGCTGGAGGCTTCCAAGATGAAAGCTGCTGAGATCCAGGTAGGCAACTGCCTGCTCACCCACCTCTCTCCACCTTCCCCAGGCCTACCCCCTCCTCTCCCCACCTGCTCCAGGCCTGCCCCTACCTCTCCCTACCTGCCTTACGCCTGCCCCATCACCCTCCGCCTCTGCCTTCTGCTCTTTGCCAGCCCACCTAGGTCTAACACCCCTCCCACTGCACCCCCAGGCCAAGGTCAGGATTGCAGAGCAGACAGAGAAGGACATTGACCTCACACGCATGGAGTACATACCTGTGGCTGTCCGTACCCAGATCCTCTTCTTCTGTGTGTCTGACCTGGCCAATGTGGATCCCATGTACCAGTACTCCCTGGAGTGGTTCCTCAACATCTTCCTCTCTGGCATTGCCAACTCAGAAAGGGCAGGTAGCTCTGGCACACAGGCATGACTACCCTACCTTGAACAGAATGTGTGTGGACACATTACCACTAAAGCACACACATAAACTCACATCCATGTTCACTGGCACCTACTCTCACATTAACCTCATGATACCCAAGGACACTCACACTACTCCCTACCCTCCTAGAGACCCCAGGAGGGAGGAACACCAACTGCCCACAGGGAAGCCCAGACTGCCCTGATGGCTGCTAGGAGAGTGGTTAGGCTGGGCCAGACCCTAGAGTCTTCCTTCTCCCTGCTCCCCGCATTCTGCCATCACCTTTCTGCCCTGCAGACAACCTGAAGAAGCGCATCACCAACATCAACCGCTACCTGACATACAGCCTCTACAGCAATGTCTGCCGGAGCCTCTTTGAGAAGCACAAGCTGATGTTTGCCTTCCTGCTGTGTGTCCGCATCATGATGAATGAGGGCAAGATCAACCAGGTGGAGAAGCAGGCATTCCACCAGTGGAACTGCCTACCTAAGGGGTTGCTCTGTTGTGGGTCTGAGAGGACAGTGTGGATGGAAAGGGCAGGTCGGACCTGAGGGCACAGTATGAGCAAAGGGGAAGAGGCCTAAGGAAACTATGGATTAATGTGGCCCAACCAATGCTTGTGAATACAGGCCTTCTCAAAACCTTGAATGTGCTGATGAGCAGAGAGCCTGTCCCCAGGAGCTGACTGTGCTGAGCCTCTCTTACCTGTTTGGCTCAGAGCTCCCATGGAGCACACATCCAGGAAAGGGCTAATGAAACCAGAACTGTTTCACTGACACTCCCAGGGGCAATTCCATTTCTCTGGGTGGGTGCCCAAAGGCAGAGAGGAGCTGGCCAAGGGGCATGGCATCAACCTTCCTTGTCCCCTGACAGGGTGAGTGGCGCTACCTCCTGTCTGGGGGTTCCATCCAGGTCATGACTGAGAACCCTGCACCAGACTGGCTGTCAGACCGGGCCTGGCGAGACATTCTCGCACTTTCGAACCTGCAAACATTTTCCTCCTTCTCTGTTGACTTTGTGAAGCACCTCTCGGAATTCCGGGTCATCTTTGACAGCCTTGAGCCCCACCGGTAAGCTGGGTCCCAGAGTATAGCAGGGTGGACACATGAAGGAGGTGAGAGCCCAGAAACAGTCTTCTCTAAGGGACAACCCAAGGTTCTCTTGAACTTGTGACCATATCTCTTTTGTGCCCCCAACCCTGTACTCCTAGAAACATCTCACCCTTCCCGGTTGTCAGCCAGCAGAATCCCTGAGGCTAGTGGCCTCCCAAGGGCTGGTTCTCAGGGAAATGTGGGCACTATTGCAGGGAGCCCCTGCCTGGCATCTGGGACCAGTACCTGGACCAGTTCCAGAAGCTGTTGGTCCTCCGCTGCCTGCGTGGGGACAAGGTTACCAATGCCATGCAGGACTTTGTGGCCTCCCACCTGGAGCCACGCTTCATTGAACCCCAGGCAAGTACTGGTATCCAGACAGGGATGATACCCCAGGTCTCAATGGGCTGGCAGACTGCATGGACTACATTGTAGCCTTGACCAGGTCAGAACTCCTACCCAGCCCCAAAGGATCTGGGAGGTTCCAGGCCTCACCAGGAAGCCCCTCTGAGACCTCTCTGGGGGCCCAGAATCCCCTTCCCTTTCCCTAGGCCCTGTTTCTCATCAGCCCCAGGTGATCACAGCATCTCCCCGTCCTTGCAGACAGCCAACCTGTCAGTAGTGTTCAAAGACTCAAACTCCACCACACCCCTCATCTTTGTGCTGTCACCTGGCACAGACCCCGCTGCTGACCTCTACAAGTTTGCTGAAGAGATGAAGTTCTCTAAGAAGCTCTCTGCCATCTCCCTGGGCCAGGGTCAGGTAAGAGTTAGGCAGAGAGAAAGGGAGTAGGCTGAGGGGATGGGCAGCTGTCTCTCACTGCTCAGTGCTCCTTCCTCACAGGGCCCTCGGGCAGAAGCCATGATGCACAGCTCCATAGAGAGGGGCAAGTGGGTCTTCTTCCAGAACTGTCACCTGGCACCAAGCTGGATGCCAGCGCTGGAGCGCCTCATTGAGCACATCAACCCTGACAAGGTGTGCCATGCTGGCCACCACATACCCACTGGGTCCTGCTCTGCAAAGGGACTAATAAGTCATCCACTCAGGACTAAAGAGATAATCCCGAGAAGCATTCAGCTCCGGGCACAGAGCAAATGCCCAGTAGCTGACATATATACCATGCCACATCTAGATTAATCTTCTCAATCGCCCCCCAGGTTACTAGGTCTCAGGGGCCTAGTGACTTGCCCAGCCTCATCCAGCAGACTGGTGACCCTGGGACTTAACAAAGTCCATATTCTTAACTAGCTGTTCATGCAGCCTTTCCTAGCCTACCCTGGGGTAGTCAGGCAGAGGGTATGCTAAGGGACCTGGGTAGGAGGGCCCTTGGGCTTGGGTCTCAATGCTCATGAGGAGCTGTGGCCACCAGGTACACCGGGACTTCCGCCTGTGGCTCACCAGCCTTCCTAGCAACAAGTTCCCAGTATCCATCCTGCAAAATGGCTCAAAGATGACCATTGAGCCACCACGTGGTGTCAAGGCCAACCTGCTAAAGTCCTACAACAGCCTCAATGACGATTTCCTCCTCTCCTGTAACAAGGTGATGCACACTTGGCACACACCCTCCTATCTGCTTCTATACTTATTCCTAATTCCTCCTGCCCCTATACCTCCCACAGGTGATGGAGTTCAAATCCCTGCTGCTGTCTCTATGCCTGTTCCATGGGAATGCACTGGAGCGTCGTAAGTTCGGGCCCCTGGGCTTCAACATCCCCTATGAGTTCACAGATGGAGACCTGCGCATCTGCATAAGCCAGCTCAAGATGTTCCTTGATGAATATGATGATATCCCCTACAAGGTGGGCCAGGGACAGGCTGGAGGGTAGCGGGGTCAGTGGCTTGGGTACCAATGGGCACTTCTCACCCACCCACCCTGTAGGTCCTCAAGTACACAGCTGGGGAGATCAACTATGGGGGCCGAGTCACAGATGACTGGGACCGCCGCTGTGTCATGAACATCCTAGAAGACTTCTACAACCCAGCTGTGCTCTCCCCTGAGCACAGCTATAGTGCCTCTGGCGTTTACCACCAGATCCAACCCACCTATGATCTCAATGTGAGGCCACTCCCAGGGAGCTGAGTCAGAAAGGGCCTGTTAGGCAGGAGTTTTGGGATGCCATTAGACAACTTGGTGCTCCTTTTCATTGAGGAATCCAGCCCATGGTGAGGGAGGCACCATCAGTCTATGCCACTAGAGAACAGGTTCGGTGAGAGAGGTAAACCTCACCTTGGCTGCTTATGTGTAACTACTCAGTGCAGTGACCAACCAAGGCCCTGCAGTCAAGGAGGGCTCCCTGAGGACATGATCTTTTTTTTCTTCTTTTCTTTCTTTCCTTTTCCCCTGCCCCATTTCAGTACTGGGGGTTGAACTCAGGACTTCACACTTGCTAGAAAAGTACTCTATCATTTGAGCTACTCCACCAGTCTTTTTTTTTTTTTCCTTTTCTTTTTGCGGTACTGGGGCTTGAACTTAGGGCCTTCTCCTTGAGCCACTCCACCATCCTTATTTTGTGAAGGGTTTTTCAAGGTAAGGTCTCGTGGAACTATTTGCCCAGGCTGGCTTCGAACCGTGATCTTCCTGATCTCTGCCTCCTGAGTGCCTAGAATTACAGGCATGAGCCACAGGCACCTGGCTTGTGTTAGTTATTTTTGAGATAGGGTCTCACTTCATGCCCAGGCTGACCTGGGCCAGGATACAACTATTTGTACTTCCCCTTGTAGCTAAGATGACGGGTATGCATTACCTCATCCAGCTATTGGTTGAGATGGGGTCTTGCAAACTTTTTGCCCACGCTGCCTTGAACCTTGATCCTCCTGATCTCCATCTCCGGAGTAGCTAGGATTATAGGCTTGGGCCATCATGCCTGGCAGGACGATATTTCTGCTGAAGTGTGTGTGAAGTCCTGAGCTGAGGCTGGGCTGGGTGGACACCAGTGCAAAGGGCCTGAGGTGGGGAGAGCATGTCAGGTTTGAGCAGCTGCCTGGAGGAGCAGGGAGCTGGATAGCCATGAGAAAGGGGCTGGGAAGGAAGCCAAAGACTGCAGGACACAGCCCCAAAAAGCGATGCAGTCCTGAGAACAAACAGGAAGATGCTTAAGGGTTATTACTAGGGTGACAAATGGGATGTACTCAAAAAGAGGGTGACTCTGAAGGCTGGGATAGAGCAAGACAGGGCCTTTAGTGTTGGTGTTCCTGCCTCCTAGGGCTACCTCTCCTATATCAAGGGCCTCCCACTCAATGATATGCCCGAGATCTTCGGCCTACACGACAACGCCAACATCACCTTTGCCCAGAATGAGACTTTTGCCCTGCTCAGTGCCATCATCCAGCTACAGCCCAAATCATCCTCTGTGGGTGGCCAGGGTAGGGAAGAGGTAGGTAGTAGCAAGGAAAAGGGGCCGAGGGCTGGGCAAAACCAAGCTCCACCATTTTTCCTGGTAACAGCAGAATGATGGACTCTGCATGTGGAAGCCTGCAGGGGTTCAGGGAAGCCAGCCCTGTCCTCCAATGTCTTTGCCCCTGCAGATAGTAGAGAATGTGGCCCAGAACATTCTGCTGCAAGTACCTGAGCCTATCAACTTGCAAAAGGTGATCACCAAGTACCCCGTGCTGTATGAGGAATCAATGAACACAGTGCTGGTACAAGAGGTCATTAGGTAATTCCCCCTGCCACACCCCTACCCCTAGTCAGTGGCCACTGTGCTATAGTAATAAGAGTACTGTGGGCCAGATGTCATACCAAGTGCCAAACAACTCTTCTTACTAAGCTGCTTGTTTATGACTCCATTTTATAAATAAACTGAGGCTCCCAAAAAGTTAAGTAACTATTGCAGGTCACCTATTTACTAAAGGCCAGAGCTAGGATTTGTACCCAGGCTGCCTAACCCAGCTCTGCTCTCAGTCTTTATGTTCTACTATCCCTTTTCTGTCTATGTCCCTGAATTGGAGAGTACAGATACTGCCACACAACCCCAGCCCACTGCCTACTTGCTTGCCACTGGCCCCACAGGTACAACCGGCTGCTACAGGTGATCACACAGACACTGAAAGACATGCTCAATGCACTCAAGGGGCTGGTGGTAATGTCCTCCCAGCTAGAGCTGATGGCTGCCAGCCTGTACAACAACACTGTACCTGAGCTCTGGAATGCCAAGGCCTACCCATCACTCAAGCCACTAGCCTCATGGGTCATGGACCTGCTACAGCGTCTGGATTTTGTGCATGGCTGGATCCAAAACGGCATCCCAGCTGTCTTCTGGATCAGTGGCTTCTTCTTCCCTCAGGCTTTCCTGACAGGCACTCTGCAGAACTTTGCCCGAAAGTTTATCATCTCTATCGACACTATCTCCTTTGATTTCAAGGTCTGGGCACAACCAGGGCCAGGTCAAGTGACGGGCCGGGGTATAGCTCAGGCAGGAGGAGCACTGCAACCATAGCTGCCTGGCAGTTGGGGCAACCCTAAGCAGGAGGGTGGGAAACCCAGGCCAGGAGAGACCAGGAACCCTAGGGAAGTTCACAGATTGCAGGTCACTAGCTACAATGGTGGGTGACTTTGGGCAACAGCTCTCAGGATGGAGTCTCTCCTGACCAAAATCCTAACACAGATTGTGGGTCTTGGTGTGGGTGTGTCTGTGTGCCCACTACAGGTGATGGCCCCGGCACCATCAGAGCTTAAGAAAAGGCCCAAAGAGGGGTGCTATATCCACGGACTATTCCTGGAAGGGGCCCGCTGGGATCCAGTGGCCTTCCAGTTGGCTGAATCTCGGCCCAAGGAGCTGTACACAGAGATGGCTGTTATCTGGCTCTTGCCAATGCCAAACCGCAAGGCCCAGAGCCAGGACTTCTACCTGTGTCCCATCTACAAGACACTAACCCGTGCTGGTATGGGGACCAGGGCAGGGAGTCTACACTACAGGTGGGGACCCAGGACTGACCTAGCCCACTTAGCCCATCCCAAGTCAGTTAGACTGACTGGGGTGAGCTGAACAGAGAGGCCAACAGAGGTAGAGCCAGGCTAACAGCAGGCAAGTGAACACCCAGGGGCCAAGCTCCTGCCTGCTTTTCTCTCTTGGGTCCTGGGAGCCTATGAGTCCCACTTGCCACAGGGGTTTCAGAGGAGTAACTGAGGTCCAGAAAGGGGATGAGCCTGGGCTGGATCTGTCAGGGAATGAGCAGTGGCAAACTCTCCTACCCCATCTTCAATCCCCAATGTAGTAACCCTGGAAAGGCCTGAGCCTTGACCAGACCCACTCACCAGGGAGGCTTCCTTTTGGACTAGGGCTCCTCTTGTCCCCAGCTGAAATTCACTGCCCCTATCCCATGCCTGCTATAGAGGTGACAGAGCACAACTTAACTCCCCCTGTACTTTTTGTCTGCTCCAGGAACACTATCTACCACAGGCCACTCCACCAACTATGTCATTGCTGTGGAGATCCCCACCAACCAGCCTCAGCGACACTGGATAAAGCGTGGTGTAGCCCTCATCTGTGCCTTGGACTACTAGACTTGGGAAGAGTCAGAGAGAGCCATTAAAGTCAGTTTTTTCACTTAGTCCAGCTGTGCCTTAGCTGCCTGCATGAGACCCTCTCTGTAGGACCTATTGCTAGTATAGTGGTGAGAAGCCACAGCAGCCTCAGCAAAGAACATGGTCAATAAGGAAGAAAGCAGCAGAGACAGCTTTGGCCTGCTGTATGTGTCCTAATATAAGGAATGAGACATGTGCTCTCCCAGATCTCTGTGTTCCTCCAGAAACTGTACCAGGCAGGACTAGAGGCAGCCCTGTCTCCTCAACCCAAAGCCCCAGCACCTCTGGTGCAAAGCCACCAATCAGGTGGAAGCCAAGCCCTCTCCCCACAGTGTACCTTGTCCACAGCCCAATGGAAGACACTCCCAGACCCCCACCCAGACAGATTAGCGTCCCAAGGATCTCTGGCTCAGACACCCCAGGAAAGTATAATAGTCCAGCTCTCTTGTCATAGGGCCTTGGGCCCAGGAGGTCTAGCTCCCTCACTCCCATCACAGCCTAACCTGCAGACCTTAGGCCAGCAACCACAGGAGGGATCACTTCTTAGCGGTTTTATTCATTCACGGATCCAGTATTTACAGGAGCCGGGGGTTCAGGCCGTGCTCAGCCCAGAGGCAGCTGCCACACCTGCCAGTCCCCCCTAGTCAGTATGTACAGATAAGGGGCCTGTTTGGATCACCTTCAAAGCCATCCAGCAGAGGCCACAGGGCTACATTTGGGGCCTGAGCTCAGGCGGTACTGAGCCCATTACCCCTTGGCATTGAGCCCTCTGGGAACACAAGGGTTCCAACGGTTATCTTGATCCTGCTTTTCCCCACCCTGAGTACCTTGCAGAGGCTGAAGAAGCCAGCACAGCAGGAAAAGCTGAGTGGTACCAGCTTCCTGCAAGCAGCCGTCTCTGCTATCCCTAAGAGGAGGGAGACATGGTAATACTGAGGGGCTGGGCAGAGGCTCCTCTGAGCCCCAGGCTCCAGGGACAGAGACTAGGAGCCCAAAGTAGGCCCATAGCCAGGGCCACAACACTAACACTGAAGGCAAAGAGCCCCAGAGCCTTGCTGTGGACAGTAGTCTCAACAAGCCTGGCTAGAACTAGGGCAGTTTACAGGCCACCACACAAGTTTGAACACTTCTCTCGGCTAGGCTGTGGGACCCCAGTAAGCTGTTCATACCATTCTCACTGGGACACACAATACCTATTCCAGCCCAGCAGCCAGGTCCCTGAGTTTGGCGCTCTCCCAAAAGGAATGAAGAAAGTAGGCCTGGCTTCCTCACAACAAGGACAGGCTGCCAACTAAGGCTAGAGCAGCAAGGCTCAATGCCCATTGAGGCTCCCAGCTAGAACCCTACAGTTGTGATCCTGGTGTGATTCAGAGACCTGGCCCCACCAGGATGACAGCTGCTAAGAGAGAAAGCAGAGTTGGGAAGCCAGCCACTTTAATACAGTGGCAAGATAGGTTGGAGCCGAGAAAAATAGACGTCTCTGATAGGTAAAATATATATTCTGCCCAGGCAACAGGGCCAGGTCCTGCCACTCCACAGCCGGCTGTGGAGGAAGCCACAGCACCTCGCTGTGGCCCAACTCCAGCTGCTGCTTCCTGAGCACTATGGGGCTGACCTGCCTTCAGCCAGATCCCAGGGCATGATAAAGGGACAGTGACCTGGTTCCCACTCCCAGGACCTGGGCTCCAGCTGGAACTATTTAGTAATACTGGGAAAAGAGGGAACAGGGCAGAGAGGGGCCCTGGTTAGGGCCTCACGGCAAGAGCAGGCTACAGTCAGGATTAGCAGCCCTCACTGGCGCTTGGCTTTGTAGGGGCGAGAGCGTTTCCGCCGGTCAGGCTTCCGCTGCTTATGAAGCCGGCCAATGCTGACCCCTTGACGCCGCCTCACAGAGATGTTCTGCTCCACCAGGTTGGCCAGCATGCCTGCAGAAGGCAGAGACCCTTGAGCAGGTGGCAGGTTGCCCAACAGCCACCCAATCAATTGGCCACAGTGTCAGGCCAAGTCTGAGGCTCTAATGTTTCTCCCTATGCCCCACAGTCTACTCAAACCTCAGGAGAGTTCTGAAGGAGGACCTGAGGGACATGACCCTCTGTAGCGTGTCCCAATTAAGATGCAGCAGTAAACCTCCTCACCTTCCTGAGCCAGCATGGAGATGAAGGTGCAAATAAACTCGTCATAGTTATGGGTCCTTCTCTGGTCATCAATCTGGAGGAAAGGAAGGGTGGGGGTGTCACAGTTCGATCTCCCCAGAACAGCTGAGCTCAGCAGTAGTAGGAGGGAAGCAGGCAGTGGAGAGAGAACCCACCTTGAATTTCTTCCTCTTCTCCACCTCCTCCTTGAGGCAAGCTTCATAGTTTGCAATCTCAGCCTCCACACACTTTAGCAATGCCAGCAGTTCCTGCCAAAATCCAGCATTGCACCTAAAGGGCCTGGCTGGTACTGAAGCTCTACTACCCAGATCAGCTAGAAGCAAGGGTGAGTAGCCAGTCCATGGGGCCTACTGAGGTCCCTGCCATCACCCAACCCAGAAAGGCTTCCTGGCACCTGGCCCCAGCCACCAACCTTCAGACCAAAATTCTAATCAAAAATCCCATACCGGGGCAGCAGGGACTCAGGCTCTTCCCTCTGCCAGGATTGGAAAAGAAAGTCACAAAGGAAGCTCACCTTAGGTGAGTACTTCTCCCCACTCAAGGGCTCACTGGGCCTGAACAACCCAGTCTTCTCTCTGCTATCTGTGGCTTCTACCACCTCCTTCTCCTCTAGGCTGCTGGATCCCTGGTTGACTTGGCTCAGTCTGATGGAAGGTGAGGAACCCTTTCCACTCTCTGGGAGACGGCATGAAAAGACACATCAGAGTACAGGACATTTGTGGTTACTTGGCTACCTCCCCCCTCCCAGCACCCCTCCTGGGGCTCACTGCTGCATCTGGTCAGTGAGCAGCCCAAGGCCCACCTGTCAGTGCCAGGGGACTCAGCACACCATCCTCAGCAAGGTGTAGCAGGCCTGTACTGATGATAGGACCCAGGTCACGGACAGCACGATTGTAGCGTATACAGTCAACACGTAGCAGGCTATCATCCTCTCCAAAAAGCACCTTGGAGATGTGGGAGGTGACAGGGCTTGAGGGCCGTGTTGGGTTGGCTGAGCGGATAGGTGAGCGCAAAGGTGAGTTGAAAGCACTGCCAATCTCAGAGGCAGTGTCTGTGCTCTCATTGCTGGGGGTGGGTGAGGGCTGTGAGTGTGTGGGCACTGCCACAGCTGGACTCCCAGTCCCACTGCTAGTCTTGATGGACAGAGGAAGTGAGAGGTCTTTCTGGGACTCTTGGAGCTTCTCAGCCAAGACGTTGATGGTGTTGGGCTGTAGCACTGACAGCTGCCCCTCCGCAGAACTGCTCAATGACCCTGGCTTCCCTGTCCCTTTCCGCTTGTATCTGTGGGGCCCAAGAAAAGGAGCAGAGGGAATGGGCCAGGTGACCACACCCAGAAGTGCCCATAACCCCTTGAACACATCCTAGCCTTCAGGGACCGACCCTGAAGCTCCTTACACTTGGTCCAAGCAGCTTAACCCAGCCATGCTATGCATGGCACTAGGCTGTCATACCTCCTCTACTCCAGCTGGCTCATCCTTGGCCTTCTGCCAATGTCATATTTTCCAGTAAAGCTGCCTCCCTCACCCTTGCATCTTCAACCTGTCCTCTTGCCACAATTGATTGAAGTCCAGCTAAAAGATCACCTCCAGTAGGAACATGCCTTGATATATGCTTATGTACTCAGCTCGCCCCCAAGCCCACCAAAAACTTCTTGGAGACCTGGGATCAGCTACTTCAAGCCAGCCACCCAAGGCACTGCTTCTGTAATGCCCAATGTTATCTGCTGAAGGGCATTCTCCCATGTGGAGAATATTCTAAAAAGGATCTAAGGCACAAGAGTCTGTTAGCCTTACAGAGCCAAAGCTGACCTGATGGCAAAATTGGTGTTCTGCACGTCATCTTCCTCATCATCCTCATAGTCATCCTCATCATCCGAGTATTGCTGGGGTGGGCGGACTGGAACACGACTTCGGCCCACACCTGCTGCCAGGTCTTCCTCCTCCTGAGGCAGAAAACAAGGGCAGTCTTAAGAAGGGCTACTTCCCCACACTGGGCATTAGCACTCACAGCCAGGGAGAAAAGCAACGTGGCCATCCAGGCTGAGTCCACTGAGCACTTCCAGGTGCTTCCTTTGGCTCCCTGGGAGGCTGCCACACACTGATACTACACAGAAGTTTATGGAGGGCTTCTAAGAGAAACAGAGCACCCTGACACATGCCTTTATTTTGCCAGCAGAACCCAACCCATAGAGCTGTGCCAAGGTGTATACCCTAAACATTTAACCCCAGAGCCATGTGATTGGATTTAAAGTCCAAGAAGCTCTCCCTGCTTCCTTAAGCCTCTGCTACTGTGAGGCCCCTGAGTATCAGAGGAATCTGCCATTCAGGCCCAGGCAGAGGATGAACACCAAAGAACCACATGGTGAACTGCCACTGTGACCTCTGAGAGGAAATCCTGCCAGGGCACTCCCAGCTTACCTGCATGGGGGACTTGGCATAGTTGTGATTGTCTAGAAAGGCCGGCAGCCGCTGGACAATGGGGGTGGGGTTGGGGGGAACCCCATTGAGGCTGCTCCCTGGAGGCTTCACCACCAGCTTGGGTTTGCTGGGAGGACTGTGGGTTGGAGCTTGTGGGCATGAACCAGCCACCTCCTCCACACCGTCTGAGACAGGGCAAGGAGTATAGGCAGGACCTTCAGTTGGATCCTCAAGAAATGCCCACAGTCTTCCCAATCCTATAACAAAACTGTTCTTCCTCCCTTCCCATAGAACAGCTGAGTCAGCTGACAGGATGGGAGTGCGCAAGCTCTAAGTAATGGTCCCATAGCCAGACTGGAGAATGAAATGGAAAAAAAGAGGGAAGCAGGAAGAGGCCTCTAGAGAAAACAAGAAAGGGAGGATACACTACAGAAACCTCAGGAACTTGACATAATGGCAGCCCTTTTCATGTACCTTTAGGCAAAGAAACACTCTCCCACTATGTCTGAGAGGGAGAGCAGTAGGCACTAGGATTTCAGGCCTCCCGTAGGAGCTTCTGTACCACTCCCCACATACCTCAAGAGAAAAAGACTTGTATTGCGTGGGCCTCCCAAATCAAGCTATGGAGGATGGCTCTGAGACCCATGAAAGATCCCAAGTTCCCCCAATACCTGTGTGGGTGCCCTCAGAGGCCGCTGGGGTCCTGCCTGCCTCCAGCACAAGGGGGGACTTGCCGCTGGCTGGCTTGGACTCCTCAGGCAGCTGTGACTCTTGAGACTTGTGGGTCTGAATCAGCTCAGGTTGTGTTACTCTAATCAGCTGAAAACAGAATCCAAGACTCAGAGGAGAGAGGTTAGAGCCAGGCCTCCACAGCAAAGGGACAGCACAATGGCCTTGGTCCTACACATTCACTCACACATTAACAGGGAAACAAAAAGGCCAAACCACAATTTCCTTTTAAAAGCTATTCTCCCTTCCCACCCCATGTTCCATTCTTTCCCATGAAGGAAGTAAAGGAAAGGAGTGGTTAGTTGAAGCATGAGTCCACAAAAGCATATGATTTGAATATCAGAGACACATGTTGCAGTGGAGGAAAGGCAAAGTTGGCTAGGCAGGAGGAGCACCTACCTGCTGCAGAGCCTCCAGTACTGTCTGACGGTTCACCTTCAGCACATGCAGCCTGGCCTCATACTTGATCCTGCGGTCAGGTACCACTGCCATCAGGTTGAAGCGGATGTCGTGGTAGGGCTCCCTGCAGTCACAGCCGTGGCCATGAGAGCAGCTCCCGCCCCAGCCCCACCATCAGGTTGAAGTAGATATCTTGGCAGGGCTCCCCACAGCACACCTGCAGCCATAAGTATAGGCCCCACCCGAACAGATGAGCAGCAACTAGCCATGCAGAGCAGAAACCTGAGCTGGTACCTTCCCCTAAGCTGTGTAAGGGGTCTGTCAGGAAGTGAACCAGCATGCCTGGGCTACCCAGGGCTCCACTAATGCCTGCCCTACCCCCCAGCCCAGTTCAGAATAGGCCACAGGCAGCCCAAACTGTAAACAGGGCAAGGAGATGACAGATCAAGAACTAAGCCTGATCTAACCAGATTTACCACATGCCCTTGCAATTTACAAATCACCTGGGCTCTCTGTGTCCTTCACAAAGAGTGCATAGCTCCAGGAGGATAGAGCAGAGCAGTCAGGACCCTTACCCTGCAGTGGCGAGGCCGATACGCTCCATGATGACCCGCCGGGCTTTGTCTGTCCACTCTTCATCCTCCCCCCAGGGCCCTAGGAAAGACCAAGATGTGAAACCAGCAGGTGGGAAACCCTGAATTTGGGCAGGCCAGGAGTGGGAAGAAGACAGAGAAATGTAGCTGAGCCAGAGAATCATGAGTTGTTCAGGTAATACAGTGTAAGGTGAAATCCTGACCAGAGTTAGATGTCCTCAATACCTAACCAACCCCTGCCACTGGGTCCCAAGCACCTGAAGACCTGAGTACCAGATACCCAGGAGGTAAACAGAGAAACCCACAGGCCCCTACTTCAGGGCGCTTACCATGGTCAATGGGGTAGACCTTCAGCCCATCAAGTTCAAAGAGCCGTCCTGTGATGGGCACATAGCTGACAAAGTGGAATGCCTCCATGGTCCGCACTGCACTAAGACCATTCTGCTTCTCAGGGAGGTGACGTGGCTCTGGCCTGGGGAAGGACAAAGTCAGGTCTCTAAAAAATTACTCTCCCAACCCCACCCCACATTAGCTCCCACATACCTGGCATGGCTATTATGTGCCTTGGCCAACTCTGGGGCATTGCCAATTGCATATCCTTTGCTCTAGGGAGAAAATAGGCCACATCAGAAAAGCTTCTCAGGTGGCCTTCTGATGGGGGTAGGGGAAGGATGTTCCAGAGAACAGGCCTGGAGGCATTCCAGGAATCTGAAGCAGCACAGCTGAACTGTGTTGGTGGGTGTAAAAGAGAGCTCTTGACTCCCAAAGAGATGGCTGTCTTGCACAGTAATGAGTAGACACTGGGGAGCAACCCAACCTGACAGCAAGAAAAGGTTCTGACATGGCATGGCTTAAGTCTCTTCCTTCCTATGTCTATCTCCTTTCCTAACAGCTGAGCCTAAAACTAGTTGCCTTACATAATTACTTATAAGTCAAATGTAACATTAATGGCTTTTGAAAAAGTACCAACGAAGTAATACCAAATACATGTGGTGGCATTACCAACGGCCCTGAGGATCACATCTAGCCAGCTAGGAGTGAGCCAGGATGAGGCACGGCAGCTTACCTCAGGGCTGAAACCTTTGGTAAAATCCTTCATTCGACTCAAGGTGGGCCCCAGGTCCACATTGCTGCAGTTCAGGAGCACGCTCAGCAAGGCATGAGTGGCACAAGAGTTGGGTATCAGCTGTGAAACCAATGATAGTCACCCACACATAGCACCCTTCACTCCAAGCTCCCCCAAGTCCATGGGGATCAAGACAGGGAGTTCTATCTGAACAACAACCCTCATCAGCTACCCTCATCTTTGCCCTGTGTTTGTTCATTTAACATTAACTAAATAGATACGCAGCATCTGGGAACATGGACAGTGGACCAAGACATCAACCTACCGTAAGGTGTTCCCTTTAATGAACAGGAGCTAGGTTCTTTCTGGCAAGGAGTTTCTGTAACCACCACCCTCAGTATCTGGCTATCTCCTTCTCCTGCATTCCTTATTTCCACATCCCAAACCAAAAAAAGTGCCAGCATCCCACCCTCCAAACAAGCACAAAGCCCAGCAGACCTGGTGAGCAAAGAACATATTATTCACAATATCATCATCAATCACGGAGGTATCATCCACCAAGGTAGAAACCTTGCGACGGGACCTGCGTTCTTCGATCCATTTGAACAGGAAGATGAATCCATACACAGGGCTGGAGAATTAAGAGACAGAAGACAATCTGCATCCCCTTCTTTCTCCCCTATTCTTTTGCACTGTGTCATCACTGGGGTGCTCTTGTCATGATCCCACCTCTCCCTTGGCTTCTTCCCAATACTGTATCCAACGTGGCCCTGAGCCCTCACACCCCAGACACCTGTCAAAGGCAGAGTCAAGCATGAGTTTCTGGCTGCAGTGCTCCAGGAGCTCACATTCTCTTTATGAAGTCTGTGGCTCTGGGTAAGAGAAGAAAGGCTAGTACTGATACCATATGTAGGACAGAGCAGGGCAGGAACACAAAGTAAGGCAAGAACAAAAACTGAAGAAGAATTTAAGCACTCTCACTTGTGGACCCCAAGTGAGAGTGCCTGAGTCCCAATAAAACCAGGGAAGCACATGAACACCCACAACATGTCCTTCTTTTCCAGGAAATGAAAGCAAACTTCCTGGTTCAGTCACTACAGCAGTCCCTCTATACCCCTATTCTACAGATCACCAGGACAAGTCCCAGAATTTGGGTACCTTGGGAGGGGCTTTATTACACCCACCAATCAATACAGGACGACCTTTGTCAAAGGCACAGCACACATAGGCATGTAAGTAATGAATTACGCAGTTGCACAAAAAGTATTGTGCGACCTGGGGCTTCCTGCTGCAAAACCAGAAAAGGCAGCTGAACTGTACCCCCAAGGGTGGCTAGAGTTGGGGGAGGGAAGCACTAGTAACGGGACGCAGCGCTGAGGGAAGACTGGGAGAAAACAAAACACAGCGTGGTTAAGCAGGCACCCAGAAGGAGAGATGCTTCCTTAAGTGACATTTTACAAGTTGGGTTTCTTGATACTGCTCTCCTTGGGAGCATTTCTTCCCAGGTGTGGCCCCAGCCCGCTGGGTGTAAGCGGCGGCCCAGCCACTCACCCCTGGCATTTGCTCTGAAGGTCATAGATCTCCTCCACCTGTACCCCTTTGACACCTGCGATCACAAAAGGAAAGAGAACGGGAAGGGCAGCCTCTGGCCCTACAGCGAGGGCGCAGAGATGAAGCCCCCCACAGCCCCGGTTCGGCGGGCAAGAAAGACTCTTACCGAAATCTTCCACCAGGAGGGTGAAGAGGCCTGGTTGGGACAAGAGAGGCGAAAGGGATGGGGAGAGTTAGGCAGGCGCGTCCCAGGCCCAACCGGCCTCCCAGCCCCCGGCCCGCCCAGCCCCCTCCTCACCCGGGTCGCTCTCCAGCTCCAGCCAGCCCTTATTCATCTTCCCGCGGAGCGGCCCCTCAGCGCCATGTCCAGGCCCTTCCGACCCCCACCCCGCCGCCCCCGCCGGGAGCCCCTACCGCTCCCGGGGCCCCTCAGCCCCACACACAGACAACGGGCCCTGTCACGTCACCCTCCCGCGCCGGGAGTAGTACGTCACCACTGCGCGACCGCCCCGCCCAGAGGCTCAGTCTTCCGCTTGCCAAACTGCACAGGCGGGCACGCACTCGGAAGTGGGCACGCGCTCAAGGGGGCAGGCGCGCGGGCGCGGAGGAGGGCGGGGCAAGCGCGCGGCCGTTAGCGCGCGGCCGTTACTGGTCCAGCTCTCTAACTGTCTGCTCCGCTGAGGTGCCCGCGGGCGGCAGTTCTCGTGACCGTGCCCCTGCTTGCGCGTTCGCCTCCTTTGCCGGCGGAGTCACCGCGCGGGGCAGCCGCCCGTGAAGTAGCTGCCACGGCCTTTGACAACGTATAAAGCTCCTGGACAGAGGCGCCCTCAAGGACAGCTGGGTGGGCAGCCCCGGTCGGGAGCGGCAGCCGGTGCGCTACCGAGAGGAGCTAGCGGCGAAAGCGACCTCCGGCCCGGCCCGGCCCTGCACCAGCCTTCCGGCAGGCGCGCCATGAGCCTGGTCTGGCATCCGCGGGATGCTCCTTGAGCCCCTTCTCCGGCTGTTACCCCGGAGCACAGTTGTGGCCACCCCAACACGTATTTTCCAAATAAATCATTGTTTATTCTTGCGGCGGCGGCGGGACCGAACACGTTAATTTATTTTTAGGTTTTGTTGTTTTGTTTTTTTTTTTCCAGCAAGCATTTACCCAGCACTTATCCAGTGAAACAACTTGGTAAGCGTTTCGAGGGAGACATCCGCCGGGTTAGGAAATCACGGACTGTGCAGCTTGTGGAAGCCCGCATTTGCCACGTCCCTCAAATGTTTTGAAGATTGTTGCGTCTTGTAACTACCAGTGTGTCCAGAATCCTACTCAAGGAACGTCGTGGTCCAGCGATGCAAAGATCTGAAATTTCAAGGTTTATTTCTATTGCAAGATGGTCGGGATAGCCCCAACTGCTCAGTTGTCAGCTATATTGTGTCCCCAAAGGGAACCGCAAAATTAGCGTGCGCTTCTCTCTCCTCCTCCAGCCTGTGCAAGCGCTTCTGTTGAGTAAGTAGGCAACAGATGCCACCTGCTGAAACTGCATCTCATGGCTTGGAAGAGGAGATGGAGCACGCAGCAAGAATGGGAGGGCCGGCTAGACTTGGTTCTCTAACTGGCTCCTGACCTTACTAGACGTATTCATGCAGAATAGGTGAAAAATCCCTAAAGTGATTCATGATCCCTGGCCTAGTTCCAAGGCTGTGGGCACTGGAGTGTATGTCCCTGGAGGAAACGATTCACCTGGCACCCCTCCTGAGAAATGCTGTCCTCGCTCCTCTGACTAGACCTAGTCCTTCCTTCATAGGGTGGATGTGATTTCTTTTGTCCTCATTCTCTCTCAGGGATTTACCCATTGACAGTGAAAACTGTTAATTTTGTAATCTGCGGACATTGGAGAAATGGCAAGGTGTCTTCTCCACTTTTGAGCATTTTATTCTGTCCAGATCTAGACAGAGGTTAGGGAGACACCAAGCCCCAGAGGATATCTGAGTTTGGTTTAAAACAAAAAAAAGTGATAGGAGCTAAGGAAGTGGTCATTGTTATTTCTTGTCTTTCTAGAGGGAGTTGCTTTTAGTTAGCTAAGATCTCACAGGCTCTTTCTTTCTATGAAAGAGCTAGCTAGCTACCTTATCTAGCTTTACCTAAGTAAAATTAAGGTGCCCACACTTGCACAAGGTGCCTTTTTTCCTGACTGTGTCTCATGCATTTATTAGGCACAAAGAACTATTTAAGCCAAGCAATGGTTCCTAGTCTTATACTGCTCTGTGGTAGCAATATAACATGGAAGTTGATGTTGGTCTCTTGAGCCAGGCTACTGGAGTACAAATCCCACCAAAATCACTAACTCTGACCTTGGGCAAAATATTTACCTCTTTGTGCCTCAGTCTTCTCATCTTGAAAATGGGAGTAATTGTACCTACTGCATGGGGTTTTTGTGTGTTAACACACAAAGTGCCTAGAACAGTTATTGGCACAATTTAATAATTATTGACTATTCCTAGCATTAATACCGGATATCCTTTTTATTGTATAACATGAGTTGGGAGGTGAGGTATATTGTTGACTTGACTTTGTGGAACGTGATGACCAAATGTAGAATTAAATTGCTGACCAACAATATGCTGACTTTTGACTCAAGTGGCAAAGTGCTTGCCTAGCAAGCACAAGGCCCTGAGTTCAATCCCCAGTATGGCAAGAAAAAATTGCTGACCAAGCCCTGTTTATATTTATAGCTGAACAACCTGTATTGTCCCCATAATAGTAGAGAAGAATTCAAGATAGGAGAGAGAGGCAGCATCGAATGAAGACTGTAAAAGAAAAGAAGAAGGCATGCCAAAGATTGAGGTAGAGTAGGCAACATGAGAGAGTTGGGAGAAATTGTCCAATGGCCAATGGTACATGCTGCATTTTTGCTCCCTTTGGTGTCATCTCAGGCTGGTGTTGGACAGTGGGAAAGCACATACCAGTGGCCCCTAGAAGCTGCTCTTCCTATCTTCCCAGACTATCCATAGGAACAGAGTGTTGGCTCTGGAACTTTACTACCTCATTCCATATCCTTGCTCTGTCTCTTGCTAACTATGTGACTGGGAAAATGTACATAATAATAGCACTCACTTTGTAGAGTGTTCTGTACATTCACTGAACTAATACCAAATATAATGCCTACCAATGGGAAATGCTCAGTCAACTCTGTATCACTTTAATGTGCTTTGGGAAGGTGGTACACCTGAGATTTAGTCATACAGGCAATACAGGCACAGGGACAGAAAGATGGTTACAAAAAGATTACTTAACCTGTACTCTAACCCATATCCTCAAATAATGTGGTAGGTATACTTTGTGCTTTCAAAAACATATGGAATATGAAAGGAAACTGATATTTTAGCCTTTAGCTATTTTGGTCCTTCATCAGATATATGAATGACATTTTAAGGGAAATGTTAAGAGTTATTTTTTAAGGATTATCCTCAAAGACTTTTTTCTCTTGTAGAAAACCTGCCAAGACTAGGAGGGTAACACAAAGGAAGCCATCTTCAGGACCTGGTAAGAAAGATGAGGTTGTGTTGAGCTACCACCTCCAGACCTTAGCAAAGAAGGCCACCTGTGTAGGGCAGTAAACTTGCTTCTCTCACTGTCAACTCCACTTTTTTCCCAGAGTCTATAATCTTGAAGAACTCAGGGTCTATAGTTTTAAATTTTCATGTTTGAAGTTTAAGAAACAAGAAATTAAAACCACTTGATACCAAAAAATATGAAATGATTAGTTGCAGCCAACTCCTTCAGTGTGACTAAAATTATATCAAGGCCTAACATACCAAATAAGATCTCATCCTAATCTTCCTCCTTGCCAAAATGACCCTCTTCCCAATACAGATGATCCTTGATTTACAATGGTTTGACTTACAATTTTCAAACTTTATAGTGGTACAAAAGTGATCTGTATTTAGTAGAAACCATATGTCAAGTTTTGGATTTTGATCTTTTCCCAAACTAGCAATATGTGGTACAATATTCTTTCACAACGCTAAGTAGCAGCAGCAAGACACAGCTCCCAGTCAGCCACACAATAATGAGGGGAAACAACCAATAGTACACCGTGTTGCTAATCTCTGATATGTGTGTGTGTGTATTATACCTGCATTATATATAATACCTATATTTAATGTATTTGCAGCTTTTCAAAATTATAAAGGGTTTATCCGGACATAATCCCTTTGTAAGTCAGTATTCCTTCCTGTACTTAGATGGTTAGTCTTTTTTTTTTTTGGCAGCACTAGTATTTGAATTCAGGGCCTCACACTTGCTAAGCAGGTATTCTTACTAATGAGCCACTCCACCAGCCTCCTTTTCCATTCTTAAGGGCCAAGTTGAGCCAGGCCTATAAATTTTTTTGGCAGTATTGGGGTTTGAACCCATGGTTTTGTACTTGCTAGGCAAGTGCTCTGTACCCCCTCTCCTAATTCTTTATGTTCACTCTTCTAGTTTGCCGGCTATGCCTTCGAGAACCTGGGGATCCTGAAAAATTAGGAGAATTTCTTCAGAAAGACAATCTCAGCGTGCATTATTTCTGTCTTGTGAGTATAAGGCCTCCTTTGCTTTGAATGTCTTGAGCTTTTGCTATCCAGACTATTTTTGTATCCAGCCTCAAATTTATAGCCCTGTTTCTTAATAGATTTTTCTTTTTAAATCGTTTTTTTAAAAAAATATATACATACATGTTTATAAAATCCTGATAGTATAAAGTATGTACAAAAAAAACCTCTTCCTCAAACAGTATTCCCTATCTTTCACTCTCCTAAGAAACAAATGCTTTCAACAGTTGTTGAGATGTCCTTCTAGTTATTTTTCCCAGTATTCTTTTCTACAAGGTATAATTTGCATAGCATAAAATGAACCAATTTTAAGCGTACAGTTAGGTGGGTTTCAATAAATGTATATCCCAGTGTAATCACTATTACCATCGAATAAGATTTCCCTCATCTAATCGATCCCACCAGAGATAATCACTGCTATGATTTGTAGATTATTTTTGCTTATTCTTTAACTTCATATACATTGTTTATACTCTTTCACATCTGGCTTTTTTCTCCCAACACAATGTTTTAGAGACTGATCCATGTTGTTCCATGCATCCATAGTTGTAGCTTGTGCCCTTTTATTGTCAGTAGTATTCTGTTGCATGAATATGTTCCAGTTTGCTTATCTCTTTCTCTGGTGGTGGACATTTGAATTGTTTCCATTTGGGATCAGTGTGAGCAAAGCTGCTATGAACATTCATGTAATAAGTCTTTTTTGTGAACATATTTTCATTTCTCTCGGCAGATGCCTAGGAGTAGAATTACTGATTGTATGCTAAATAAGTATTTAACTTTATGTGAAGTTGCCAAGTCATTTTCCAAAGTGGTTGTACCATTTTTCACTCCCACAAACAATTTATGAGAGTTCCAGTTGCACAATTTTCTTGCAAAAACTTGGTATCATCAATCTTTTTAATTTTAGCCATTCTGCCGGATGTGTATTGGTTTCTCATTATGGTTTTAATTTGCACTTCTCTGATAAGATGTTGAGCTTTTCATGTGGTTATTGGCATTCACATATTTTCCTTTACAAAGTGTCTGTACAAATACTCTGTCTATTTAAAAAACAGGTCTTATTGTTGAGTTGTTTATATATTCTGGATACAAATTCTTTTTCAAATATAGTATTGTATTTTCTCCTAATCTGTGCCTTGCCTTTTCATTTTCTTAATTGTGTCTTTCCAAAGAATAAGTTTTTAATTTTGATGAAGTCATGTTTATAATTTTTTTCTTTTATGATTAGTGATTTTTGTGTGTCCTAAATGATCCTAAAGGACCATTTGAGCCTACCCATTGAATTTCTAGGTGCCTTTATCAAAATCAATTGACCATATATCTTTGAATCTCAATGATCTATTTATGTCATTGATTTATACATCAGTACCTCACTGTCTTAATTACTGTGGTCTTACAGTGTCTTAATATTAAGTATGGTAAGTTTTACAATCTTTTCCAAGATTGTTTTGACTATTGGGATTTCTTTTTCCTTATAAATTTTATATTTAAGCTTATCAATTTTACTTTTTAAAAAATCTACTGGGATTGTAATTTGGTGCCTCGAATTTACAGATCAATTTGGGGAGAGTTGGTGTATTTCTCCGTTTATTTTGAGTCATTTAAAGTCTGTCTCATCTGTTCTATCATTTTAGTGAAGAGGTCTTGCACATCCTTTGTTAAATATATTCCTAAATATTTTGAGGTTATGTTGTTATAAATGGCATTTTGACTTTTCATTTTCAAGTTTATTGTTGAAATATGGAAATGCAATTTTATATGTTGACTTTATATTCTGCAATCTTGTTATTAGTTAAGTAGTTGCTTTTATTTATTTAGGATTCCATTGTCATGTCATGTGTGAATAAAGACAGTTCTACTTTTTTTTTTTTCCAATTTTTGTCTTTTATTTCTTCTTACCTTATTCTGGGTAGGACTTTCAACCTAATGTTCAGTAGAAGTGATGTAAGTAGTCATCTAAGTCTTGTTCCCAACATTAGTGGACAGCATCTAGTTTGTCATCATTATAAATATGATGTTAGCTGTAAGGTTTTCTTCATAGGTGCTTTTTGTCGTATTGAAGTTCCCTTTACTCCTAACTTACTAAATGTGGTTTGAATTGTGTCAAATGCTTTTTTGAATTTTGAGATGATCTTGATTTTTCTCTTTCATTTTGTTAATGTGGTTTGTTATGACAACTGGATTATTTAATGTTAAACTCATCTTCCCTTCCTGGTATATACCCTATTGGTCATAATATATTGTCCTTGAATTTGCTAATGTTTTGTTTGACTTTTATATCTATGCTCATGAGAAATATTGATTTGTAATTTTTTTTCCTTTCTTATAAGTCCTACCAGGTATCAGGGCTTAATTAATTCTGATGCATTTACAAGCATATATATTTTTAACATAAAAATAAACATACTATACACAACGTTTTGTATCTTGGCTTTTTTTTTTCTCTCTCATATATTTTGGAGATCTTCCCATATAGAACATGTAGACCTAGTTTTTTCTTTTAGTAGCGAATTGGTATTTCAGGTACGGGTGTGCCAGAGAGTATTAAAACAAATTCTTATTAAAGGGCATTTAGGTTATTTCTGATTGGGGGTGGGAGAGGCACTGGGGTTTGAACTCAGGTTTTCATGCTTGCTAGGCAGGCACTCTACCACTTGAGCCACTCTGCCAGCCCTTTTGAATATTTTCGAGAGAGGGTCTCACTTTTGTTGCCCGGGCTGGCCTTGAACCACCATCCTACTCATCACTGCCTCCTGAGAGGCTAGGATTAAAGGTTCGAGCCACCAGCACCCAGCTTATTTCTCATCTTCACTGATTTTTCTGTTTATAGAAATAATATGTCATTATAGAAAATGTGAATAATACTTAAAAGTGTAAATTAAATAGAAATCATTCATATTATGCTAAATCCCTGAGATAATTCGTCTTAAAATTTATGTTTTAAGCACAATTAGGAATACCTGTCTCAAAAAAAAATCTGAGTTCCTTACACTTTATGTAAATTCTGCAAGAAGTCCACCCTTCCCAATATTGTTGGAAGATTCTTGCAGTAGAAGTTGAAGTGATGACATATTCCCAACTTACATAATAGTCTAGTATCTTCTTCCTTTTGTTTTTGTTTTTTGTTTGGCTGGTTGGTTGGTTTGAGACAGGGCCTCTCAATATATTCTAGGCTGGCCTCAAACTCTCAATTCTCCTGCCTCAACCTCTAGAGTGCTGGGATCACAGGTAGCCCATGCCCAGCTGCTTCTTTTTCCTTGATTTCCCAATCCAGACCATGCTTTAGAAAATTTTTAGAAGTAAAAGGCCCTTTTATATCAAGTATGGTGGTATACACCTATAATCCAGTACTTTGGAGGGTGAGATGCAAGAGGATTATGAGTTTTAGGCCAGCATGGACTACATAGCAAGACACTGTCTCAAAAACACAAAACCAACAAATAAACAAAAGGCCTTTTAAAGTGTGTCTTTAAAAGAAAAGTGCAATTCCTTCCCTTTTATAACACAGACTTATATAGTCAGGAGACTTAAAAAATATTATTTACCTTCCTGTACTACTGAGAAAAGTATTCTTTACTGAAGGGCAATACAGCAGAAAGGGTAAGAGTGTGGATTCTTTAGGCCCAAGAGTAAATGCTATCTCTGTTCCTCCTTGCCATGTAACCCTAGTCACATCCCTTGCCACACTGCACCTCGGTGGCCTGAAAGATAAGGGTCACAATAGTTTCAATATCAGAGCTGTGGTGAGCACAAAATGAGTGGGTACAGGAGGAGTGTTTCCTTCCCCAGTGTTCAGTACACAGTAGTAGCAGCATCCCTCAGTAAGTGAGAGGCAGTATAGCACAAAGGTGCATGAGAGCACAGGTTCTGGAGCTCTGTGGCTTTGAGCAAGTCACATCTCTCCAGTGAAGAAAGAAAGTTGGGTTGTCCAATTAATATTTGAAAAGTGCTTAAGAGTACTACATCTATAGAACCAAAATCTAGTGCTACATGGACTTTCATTAAATAAATTACTCTGTAAATGTAAATATATTCCACCAAACTGTTTCTTAGCTCTCTTCCCCAATCATCCTCACCATACTACACTATTTCACAGCATCAGTGTTGACAGCTTGGTTCTACTGCTCCCTCAGATCTTATCTAGCAAGTTGCCTCAGAGGGGCCAATCCAACAGAGGTTTCCATGGATTCCTGCCTGAAGACATCAAAAAGGAGGCAGCCCGGGCTTCTAGGAAGGTTAGAACCCCTTGAACTGGGTAGACCTCTTTTAATACCTAAGTCCCTGTTGATGTTCTTTCTCTAATTACTAATTTAGAAGTCAAAGGACTCTTGGATTTCCTAACTGGCCTTTCTCTCGTGTGTGTGTGTGTGTGTGTGTGTGTGTGTGTGTGTGTGTATTTTTGCAGTGCTAGGGATCAAATCCACAGTCTGCACATGCTAAGTAAGCATTCTTCCACTGAGCTTTATCTCTAGCCCTTGTCCTTCTCTTAAGTCCCATTCTCCTCTGTGATGTAGTATCCTAAATGAGGAGAAAGTGCAGCAGCCTGAGAAAACTTTACTGAATATAGTGCTGCTTGAAGTTCAGCTTCAGTGTGCCCTGGAGCTTTCAGGACCACAGAGGAAAGGGCACATCTGTTGCTTCACAGTATTTCATTACTGAGAATGATGTGCTGTAGTGTAGTGTATGTCTCTGTCTTTCTCAGGTCACTGAGCACTCTCTGGGATCTCATTTTCAGATCTGTTTTGTTTGCAAGAAAAAGGGAGCTGCTATCAACTGTCAGAAGGATCATTGTGTCAGAAACTTCCATCTGCCTTGTGGCCAAGAAAGGGGTTGCCTTTCACAATTTTTTGGAGAGTACAAGTGAGTGAGGAAGGGGGAAAGTTGGGCTGCCCTTTTGCAACTTGCTCTTTAGCCACTTGATGTAATCAGAACCCAGTTCTCACGGGCCTGTTTTGATTCACCATTAAATCTGTCCCTTCGTTCAATAATGGGAAAGTGTCTTGACTTGGAGATTTCACAGGAGTTTCTTCTTGCTTCCCATCCCCTCCTTAAATTACAAACAGCTGGGGTTCTTAGCCAGCTGCTCAGAACTAAGTGGGGCTTTCAGGAATGGGAGGCTGTGGAGACAGTCCTGGGAGCTCTGCTCAGTGGGAGAGCAGCCATGAGAAGACATGTGGCTGTGCTTCACCCTACTTCTCCTTCTCCCTGAATGAGGAGGTTCACTGAGCACTAGGATGGATGGCTGACTGCCCTTCATAAGCCAGGCAGCTGGGAATCTGCATCAGTGACAAGCCAGAAACCAAGTCTGTTTATCCTGTCACAGATCATTTTGTGGAAAACATCGCCCAAAACAGAACATCCAACAGGGGAACATAAGGGAGGAAAGCTGTGTCTTGTGTTGTGAAGACTTATCTCAAGCGAGTGTTGAGAACATCCAGAGCCCTTGTTGTAGTCATACTATCTACCACCGCAAGTGCATCCAGGTGGGGCTTTCTCTGCCCTGGAGGTACCTTCTACAATTGCCCTAGTTGTTTGCCTAGAACCAGGGCACCCTGGGAATGCTCAGATAGTCTTAACTTTGGCACTCCATGCTGCAGGCCTATATGCAGGATTGCTTTTGGTCAATGAGAAGAAAGTCAGCCCGGTCTCTAGTCATTCTTGGCCCATAGGAGCTCATTCATGATAAGATTTAGGCTGAGCAAAATTCTCAGAATTGCTAGAGCAAATGGACTTATCCCAGAATGAGTCAAGGAGCCTCAAAATCAGCCCTAATACTGGGATGAAAGAAAGGAGAATGTATCCAGGCACTTGACCTCTACTTAGTCAAAACTACCAAGACCTGTAGCCAGAGATAACAGCTAAGGTACTTCTGGGAACTCTCTTGAAAGCATTTTGGTCCCAAGCATGACACCTGGATTTGCAGCCCTCACCCTTGCCCACCCAAACTGCTTTTCCTGAACCCCATGGGGTAAGAGTTGAATTGAGAAGCTGGTCAAGAGTGTTTTTACAAACACAAAGCTCTTCCTTGTTTCTCTTACAGAAATATGCCCACACGTCAGCAAAGCATTTCTTCAAATGTCCCCAGTGTAACAACAGAGAAGAGTTTCCTCAAGAAATGCTAAGAATGGGAATTCATATTCCAGACAGGTAAAGGAAACTCTACAAACAGGAAGCGAGCCAAGGAGTGGGTTGCTAGATTTTTAAAGAAGGGTTGAGTATGATGATAGTTCAGAGAATGAGAGTGGCAGAAGTATTGATAGACAGTGAAGAGGGAAGGGTGAGAGAGTGCTCTTCAATTATCAAAAGAAAAGGGAGGAAAAAGTGGGTGGGAGACATGGTTCTAAATAGGGTACTTTTGGGGTCAGAATTCTCTAGGGGATTGAGTTCTTAATTCTAGAGTGGAACTAAGGAACCCCGATGTTCCACTCACCCTGCCTCAGGCCTCTCCCATACCCTGGCTATTTGTCTAGCCTTGTTGGAAGTGTTCAGGTTGCCTGTTGAACTCTTGTGCTTAGCTTGGGTTCTTCGCAGTTCCTCTCTGGTGGACAGAGTGGATTGTGTGTTCCTCACTCACTGTTTCTTCTCCCATTGCAGAGATGCTGCCTGGGAACTTGAGCCAGGAGCTTTCTCAGAGTTGTATCAGCGCTATCAGCATTGTGATGCCCCCACCTGTCTGTATGAACAAGGCAGAGACAGCTTTGAGGATGAAGGGTAGGGAGACGCTCCTGGCTAAAAAGTTCTCATTAGTGCCATTTTAGAATTAGATGTTGGCACAGTAGGAACAAGAAGTTGGCTCTTTTTTTGAGGGGGGTGAGGGGGAGATACTAAGGCTTGAACTTAGGACTTCAGGACTTGCTAGGCAAGCACTCTACTACTTCAGCCACATTCTCAGTATAAGTTCACTCTTGTCAGCATACCTCAGAGTGAACACAATTGCTAAGTCCCATTCTTGACAAGCCCCTAACTCATTCATGTGCAAGTGGATAGATATCCTCTGCAGGGTCAGCTCCTTGTGCTCAGTGAAGAGACACTCAGGCCAATTTCTTTCCAAATCCATCTTGTAAAGGGCTATGCCTGCCTGTGGGATCCTGGGATCGACACTCAGCTTCTCTGAGCCTCAGATATGTGATGGGTGAAATGTATAGTTAAAAAAAAAAAATGCTGGGGAAATCTTCAGCATAACTGAGGCTGGACCATAACAAACATCCCACAGTGGGAGGTAGTGTTCTGCTTGTCCCTAAATCCCCCCTTGGCACTTCCCATAGGAGGTGGCGCCTCGTTCTCTGTGCTACATGTGGATCCCATGGAACGCATAGGGACTGCTCATTTCTCAGATCCAACAGCAAGAAATGGGAGTGTGAGGAGTGTTCACCTTCTGCTTCACTTGTAGGTAGGGCTGGAGGGATGGTTTGGTCTAAGAACTGGGGTGGGGCAGGAGAACTTGGTTCCTCCTTAGGGAGGAGCCTAAGAACCTGCACTTGGGAGAAACAAAGGGCTGAGTTTTCCTTCCCCACCTTTCTTTCATCACAGACTACATAACTGAAAATTCAGGTAACATCCCATCCTGCAGCAGCACCTTCCACCCCCAGGAGCAATTCTGCAGAGACACTAGCCTGGCAGAAAATCCAGGCCCTTCTTGGACTGATTGGCCGGGACCTTCCTTATTAGAAAAGCCGGAGTCCTCTGGTGGCAGGAGGGGACACTCCTGGCAGTCCAAGAGAGTCAAAATCACTAAGAGCTGCAAAAAATCCAATTAACAGCTTCTGAGTAGTTGCTGCCAACACAATTAGGTACGAAGCAACACTCCTCCATTGGGTTTGGGGGAGGGAGCACTTTGGTACTGTGAAACAAGGAAAGGGGGCCAGCAGTGAGACTATGAGCCAAGGAAAGAAGTCCCAAGGGAACATGAGAAAAGAGCAGAGTCAGATGCCAGCAACTGAGCATGTTTGTGGCTATGAGAATGCCTCTGCTCTTTCTCCCAGATTCTCTTTCTTCTCCGCTTCCACCAAGATTCTTCTATCTTAATCTGTTCTCATATGCCTCTTCTTCGCTCATGTTTGTTATTTTGCAAATAAAGGTTTTTCTCCCCATTGATGTCTCCTTATAAACTCACTCTGGAACTTGTCTAGCATGCTAAGGAATTTAGAGGGTAGAGTGAAAGAATAAGAAAATCTACCCTTCTAATGCATAAAATTTAGTAGATGGATGTGGAACTTTGAACATAGAACATAAGTGTATTACTTAGGAAGGGAATTAGTCTGCAGGGAAATTGAAATTCCAGGGGTAGAGATTTCAATTGGTTCTCATCAGGGAAGTGAGCCAGTATAGCAAGCAGTCCACTCTGGACTGAGAATAGGTCCTTTTTTCAAGGCTTGGCCCTGGGACTCAAACATGACAGAGAATGGATGTAAGGCAGAAGGGAATCCACTGACTCTAGGCCACTGTGGTCTTAGCATACCTCCACAGCTGAAGTGAACCCCTGAAACCCTCACTGCCTAGTAGTTTGAGCATTTCTGTCCTGACTGAATTTGCATGCCAGGACATTAACATTAGGCAAGGCAGCTAGGATGGGAATCTGGCAGAAGGCCTAGGAAGAAATTAAATAGAGCCTATCTTACATTTGTATGTTTTTCATGATTTCATGGGATTTGGATTAGTGAGGGAAACTCGAAACCATTGCCATATACTAAAGTCTCAGGGATTCACTGAGTCATTGTCACTTAATAGTAGAGGACAATGTCCTAGTTCCAAATATTGCTGAGTTCTACAGACTTATATCCAAGGTATATACGGTGATTGCCTTCATATTTGACCAGATTCATTTGGAATCAAATAGAGGGTATTAGTGTTACTTACTATCAAAATATATAGGCAAAGTAAGATACACTTTAAAAAGTCTTATGACTAGGGGTGTGGCTCAGTGGTAGAGCACATGTTGCCATGTGCAAAACCTGGATTCAATCCCCCAGCACACACACAAAGTCTAATAGTACTTAGAGGATTATAATGAAAAACAGTCTCAACTCACCCTTCTCTATATCCATCCTACTTTTTGTTTGTTTTAAAGTTTTAGCAAGGATTTATCTTAGTATAACAGCATAAAGTATAGACAAGGGGGGAGGAGAAAAGAAAGAGAAACATTTCCTGTTTCCCACACAGGAAATGGGAGCAAAGACTCCTCTATCCTATTTCTTAAAGGCAACTATTTGCCATTTCTTAGCAGTTTTCTGAATTATTAATCTTAGACATTATTGCCTACCTATTGTGTTATATAAGACTTAGCACTTTTATAAGCTTCCCATTTTCATTCTTCTTGCCTTAGTTACATTATAATTTTGTTAAATTGGCTTTTTCTGATACATTATTATGACTGTGAATTCTGTTTATTACTGAGCCAGACTGTATGTTATGATTACCTTTCCTATACCATGTTTTTACTGAGATTAATAGCTGCTGCTTTTTTTTTTCTGTGTACTTACTACTAATTCCTCAAAGGTCAGATGATAGATCATTAAAGTATCAGTTGCACTTCTTTTCTGGAAGACCTGCCTCCTAGAGCCTACTCCTCTGAGCTGGCTGCCCCTGGACTTACATAGCTGGCATCCTGGAGCTTCCCATGATGATGCCACTTATCTTTCTTATGGGTTTGACCACTCAACGCTATGCTTCCTAACCTGAGCATCCAAGGAGATTTTTTCAGAGCTCTGCAAGTAATAAGGGAATTTTTAAATTATGGATTTTCATTTCAAAGCAATGTTTTTCCCATCCTATAGGCTCAACTCCTGCAGTGGTCATTCTCAACTCAAAAACACTTCCTTGATTAAATCAGACTTTAGTTTCTTAACCTAGAGTTATTGTAACTTGGGACTCGGGCCTATTCTTGGAGATATGTGGTAGTACCTGGGCACAGTGGCTCATACCTGTTATCCTAGTTGCTCAGGAGGCAGAGATTGGGATCATGACTTGAGGCCAGCCCAGGCAAAAACATTTGCAAGACTACATCTCAACCAATGGCTGGGCACGATCCAGGCCAGCTCAGGCATAAAATGAGATTCTATCTCAAAAATAACCAAACCAAAAAGGACTGGTGGTACAGAACCTACCTAGCAAGCATGAGACCCTGAGTTCAAACCCCCTCAGTACACCAAAAAGCAATCTGTGGTGTTATCTTTCCCTTTATAGAAGTCTACTTGTATACTAAAGTGTGAGAAACACCATCTTAGGTAAACGTAATGGCCCTTAACAGTGCTCTCTTGACTTCAGCTTCAGTGAGTAGAACACAGAGCTTATGTTGGGAGTGTGGGAAGACTTTTGTCACCCAAACATTCAGCTGCAATTGGTATTATGCTACTAACTAGCAGGCAGTGCATGTCCTTACATACACACACACACACACACACACAATTAACCATTTCTTCCTCTTTATACTTTTATGCTCCGTTGATATTAATAGCCAATACCAGTCTTGTAGGCTCAAAAGTCCAACTTTGCAATATTCTATTCTTCCTCTGGGCCTAATCATTCTCCATTAAATAACTGATTTTTCTTAAACTTTTTGTTTGTTTTATTGAGACAGGATCTCACTATGTAGCTCAAGCTGGCCTCTTACCTTATTATGTAGCCCAGGCTGCCCTCAAGTCATGATCCTCCTAGCTCAACCTCCACATTAATAAACTTTTTGTCACAAAAAAAATCTGTATTTTCTCATACCACTGAAAGCTTCATCTGTGAGTTAGCACAGTGTTGAAAGATGGCATCCCAGCAAATGAGCAGTGAGACCTGCATCACATGGTTTTATAAATACAAGTTACAGTGAACAGCTGCTGTTTTTTTAAAGAATCACTTTAAAAATCTGTTTTCTGATTAAATAAAAACTTGTTCACAGATGTTCTGTCCTCAGAAGATATCAGAAAAGTGGAAATAAAGGTATATGAACTGGGTAGTGTCCCCTCTGTGTTGTCGCTTCTTGATTGTGTGCTGCAGAGCAGTGGAGGAGTGCTTCTGACTGGGCAGTGCTCCAAATGCATGTCTCCTAGTATGAAGCATTTAATGGGCCCCCTATACAGCACTTTTGGCCTTGAGAGTATACCTAGTTACATGCCAGCAGGTAATTGTGTGCCTTTGAATTGCTTGGCTATCTGGTTTCAGGTCTATTTTGGTTTTTTAATAAATTTTTAATGTTAGAATAGTTTTACAGAAAAATTGCCAAGATAGTGTAGAGTTCCCATATGAGCTAAAACCCATTTTCCTTTATCATTAATGTCTTACATTAGTATGGTAAATTCATCATATCAAGTAAACAAAGTAACTATTAACTAAAGCCCATAGTTTATTCAGATTTTCCTAGTTTTTGCCTAAATTTTTTTCAGGATCCCATCCAGAATTACACATTGCCATGAATTGTCCTTTCTCTTTAGTTTCCTCTTGGCGGTAACAATCTGTCAGACTTTTCTTGTTTTGATGATCTTGACAGTTTTGAGGAGTATTGATCAGGTATTTTGTAGAGTATCCCTTAATTGGGATTTGTCTGATGTTTTTCTCATGGTAAGACTGGGGTTAGGGGCTTGCAGGGGGAAAACTATGGAGGCCTAGTGCCATTTTCATCACATCAAAGTTACATGCTATCAACCTGACCTATCATTGATGTTAACACTGATCACCTGGCTGAGATACTGTCTATCAGGTTTCTTCACTGTAAAGTTACTGTTTTCCCGCCTTTCCCTACTATACCTTTGGGAAAGAAGTGACTGTGCAGCCCACAATTAAGGAGGGGCAATTTAGGCACCCTTCTCTCAACATACATTATTGGGAATTCTTCTGGATGGGAGATTTACCTATTCTCTCCTACTTACTTGTTTATTCAACCATGTATTTATATCAGCACAGACTCATGGCAATAAATACTATGCTTTGGGTTTCAGTCCAATACTACTTTATTTTATTTGACTATTTCCAGCTTTGGCCATTGGGTGTTCCTGTGTCCTTTTCACACATCCCTATCATTGTGTATTTTGTTTTGTGTTTGAGCACTTACTTATTTTTTGGCACTATACAATGTCCCAAGCTTATCTTGTATATTTCAAAGATCTGTTTTCAGAATGGGTGTGTTTATTAGAATTAACTACTCTCTCATAACTTAGGACCCAGAATAAATACTTCACTTGGACAGGATAGGAATAAATGTTAAATAAAAATTCCCCAAAACATCTGCTCCCCTTCCTCTGATTCTTACCTTTCCTGAAGCCACAGCTGAGGCCATAAATCTCAGAATTTCCTTCTTTCCTCTCTGCTCAACTCCTCTCTTTCTTATCAATTTGACTGTTTTCAAATGTTTGCCTTCCTCTCCTTCCCATAACCAGTCAGCTCAGATCTTCACAAAACTACTGCAAGAGCTTCTGTCTGCACAGATTTCTATGTCCACTTCACTGACACATCTACCCTTTTCTCTTCTGCTGGTTACCATAAAATGTGCTGGCTTTTTGCTTAGGATGACTCTACTGAGATTGGCATCTGTGGCCTTCTGCAAATAGAGCCCTGTACAGCTGCATCTCCCAGGAACCCCACCCATGGGCATTCTGCCCTGGCTACACTGAAATATTGTCTCGGGCTTAGAATCCTCAGTCTGTTGAACACAGCATAATCACCATCTCTTTATCTCTGGGCATTCTCTTTTGTCCTCTGCTTGTATAGCCCATGTCATTCTCTGTGAGCCCTACAATTGTGGCTCTGTCTCTCCTGCCAGATTAGAAGACTCTTA